GTGTGCTTTGCCAAAACTGAATAATCCAATCCAATCCATATTTGTAAAAGAAGCACCTACTACAAACAGTAAATGAAAACGGAAGACACAGAATAAAAAAAAAAAAAAAAAATGTTACTCAAACAGAAGCATGAGCAATAACCGTGCAGTCATTACTTTCATTGTTTCAGAAACATTCCCCTTTCCAAATCCTCCCCCTTTCTCTCTGAAATAGTATTCACCTTCACATACTTTGTCAAGGTCATTGTGGCAGTGCATTCCAAAGCTTTGCGAATAATTTTACTGGCAGCAGTGCAAAGCAAATGATAGTATTTCAGAAGGGCATATATATGCCGGGGACAGTTAACGCATCGGCTGAGCAAGGCATATGTATATATACACACATCTGGTGGCAGTTAAAAGTTGTAGAAGATTTTTCCCCTCGCCCAATCCTATGGTGGAAACTATAAAACTCTTAAGAGTTTTGATATGTTCATTAAAGGAAAATGTGTCTGGAGAATTATTAATAATATTGCTTCTGTTATACATTCTGCTTCACCTAATTGCACACAATCCAATATTTTTTGAGTTGTTAAATATCATGAGAGAAGTTGAAAATATGATTGGTCACAATATTAGTAAAATTATATCAATTTACAAAAACAAAATGGATGAACTTAGGAAATGTGACAGTATATTAAACAGAATTCAAATCCTGTATCTTATATTAGAGGAGATACATCAGCTTGATAACAATACACCCTAATTTGTTCATTACTTCTACTGTACTCATTATGTGTTTCACCAGTTAACTCCACATTTCACCTTATTCCTTTCCAATAAGCTACACCTATGTCCTTGATCCCCATCTTACTCTAATTATTCCCTCAGTCTTAATATGTGCACATGCTACTTCTGCACATTAATTGTAATTAATAGTTACTTGCATTACTGGCATTTCTTTATATTGTTTTTTGTTTGCACAGTTGCCCTTCGACTTCAATGGTTATTGCACATGGCAGCAGTAGATGTATCCTATATGTTTCCTCACTTGGAAGTATGTGTCTTCTTTTATGTACAATTCAAGTTCGAACTTTTCTCCTGTAATTTCGAAGCACTGCGTGTTCAAAAATCACCATTTAGTGTTATCCTGTGATTGCGTAACGTACACGGGTGCCCGTTAAAAGCAAGCTGCAATGCTGCCTGAGCTGAAGAATTATTTCAACATTAAATCAAAAATATTTAAATTGATTTTTGAAAAAATCTTCTCACATTGTATTGTCATACACAAAGTGTGCATGTAAATTTTGAGTTCAGTAGGTTATCAGGAAGTATTTTAAAAATTTCTAAACTGTTGACAATGACAAACACCGTGAGTGAGTAAAATAAAAACTTATTGAAGAAAGGTGTATTTTGAAAAATTTAAAAGGAATAATTTTTCATTTGTAATAATTTAGGTTAATGAATTTTTGATAAACTGGAATAAAAAAATGCAAAATTTTAATTTTTATGTTAGGGTGTGGTAACTTCTGCAGTAAGCTTAATTGATGCATTTGTGAAGAAAAATCCAGAGGAGTACAAAGGCTGTGTGTCTCTTGCAGTTTCCAGACTTAGTCGAGTAAGTTCATATTTCAAATCATGAATATTTTTAAAATCTGTTTTAATGATTGTGCACTGAATTAAATTGTATAGTGAAATTTCCTTTTTACTGTAACCTAAACTATTTCAAATAATTCCAGAATCGTAAAATAATCTATTTAAATGTACCGTAATTTCCAGAAGAAACGCCGCGGCGTGTACGTGTTTAAAACTTAAATTTCACGGTCGCGTTCTACCCAGCGGCGTTTAGGTGCACGAAATAAAAATATTTCCTATGCTGGTCCTTGTACATAGTTTGGATGGCCTTGTCATTGTGCATATCCTGGGCTGTTCCCACACAAAATACACTCATTGCTTTTGCGAACGTTATTTTGTTTCATTCTTTCCCTTGAACTCACCTCCCTCCTTCCTTACCCTAAACGAGATCTCTCAACAATAACATCTCCCCTTCAAATCACATTGTCATCAGTGAATGTCTCTTCCTCTGCCATCGATGAATCTTCCAGGACCCATCCTCTCCCCACCCCTGCTTTCTGCAATTTTTTTCAAAGGCGAACCGACTCCACCTGCTCCAATACGAACTCTGACGTATTTCCCTTCAATGAATGGATTTTTCTGGCATTTGCAATACAGATCTCATCAGTTTTAGGTACAGTACTTGTGAATATTTTTAATTAGGAGCGGAAATTTTGAATGCTCTAACGGCACAGAGACACATTTCTTACCTTTAATTTATTTTTGAGTTTGGTTATTTCATGCATTTTTCTAATAGTATGTCATATATCACTAGGTTGAGTTTTTGCATCTACACGGCCCACGACGATGTCACGCGCAATTTAATCTATTGGGGCATTTCTGTGTAATTTAATTTTTTTCCACGCCATTTTTCTCGAGTGCAGCGTTTACGCTGATGCGGCCTTTCTTCCGGAAATTACGGTATATGCTGTGTGATTTTAATTTCCATAAATAGTTTAAGGGATTGTATTCCGAGATTTGTCATTTTACTGATATTCCTTTGTTCCTTTAAATATATTCATCTTACGTCTTTTATAAGAGCAAACTGAAATTTTGCATTTAAAACAAACTGTTAAGACTAACTGAAGCACTTGTAGCTTTACAATCACAACTTGGTCTTAAACTACAAACTTCTTACTTTCTAGGAACCTCATGTAAATGAATGACTTTATAAATTCCTATTTTATTTTATCAGCTTTTTTATATATGCTGAATTAGTCAATAAATAATCACATTACATTTTCTAATAAAAGTAAATTTGCAAATTTATGAGCATTATATGAATTCAAAATATCTAAAATTGCAACATTTTGTCTACTATGGTTTAAACTCTATTCAGATCAATAACTTTTAAGAAGCCTTTCAAAAATTGTCTATTTTTCTCAGAAAGTACAATAAAATTCGCATTTTTAAACATAGGTAAAAAATCGCCAATTAGCCAAAATTAAAATAGATGTGAAAATTACCATTATGCCTTTTAAATTGGCAATTTTTTTTTTTTTTTTTCCAAACTAGTACGAGTTGTAAATTAATTTTACATAGATTGAACTTTCTCATGGTTACAAGTTAATATTTTGACTCTGTAAGATATATTTTATTGCAGCATGAGTGATGGGAAAAATACATTTTATTTGGTATTGTGGGCTTTTGCTTTTACAATAGACATGTATGCAAATAGTTTCACTAATATTGGTATTACAACTGTCAGTTCAGTGTAATGATTAGTGTTCTATGCTATCATATTTTTAACAACATAGCAAAATTATCCAAGAATTATAGAATTCCCTTAATGTCATCAATATTCATGTGAATGGGATGGATGACTAAGTGGAAACCTTGTTGTCTTGCTGCCTTTGAGTCAAACTTGCGAAGATATTTTATGCCCGTTTCACATAAAATACAAGCCTTCTCTAAATCATTTAGTTTAATGTCACCATCAAAGCATATAAAAAAGTTTCCTGTTATGCTTAGTAAATTTCTGCAGTCACAATCAGAATCATCCATTTCAAATTCACAAAAGTGCATAAATTATGCTTAAATAGAACTTATCTAACATTTGTATTTGATAACAAATTAAGAAAATATTGAGTAAAAACCTCTCTAAGCAAAGTATTCAGGAAATGTAATACGTAATTCCAAATCAAATGTGTTTCACACTAAATCATATAAGGGGAGTTGCCAACAGTGTTCGTTCTGAGATTGATAACTGCCGTCTATGAAAAATCTGAGCTTGAATAAATGAAACACAATGATAAAATATGCAAAGTATGGCACATAGAATAAGGCAACTAATTATGATTGATAGTTGGTAATTTCTAAGTGTAAGTATGATGTTAATACTTGTGGAATGACAAAACTTAGTGATCATTAAAAATATGAGGAGCATACACAAACAGGACCAATTATTTAAGTGCTGTTAAATATGATCACTCAGTAATGTCTATTAATATTGAAAATATTAGACATTTGCTGATTAAATTTATGACAGAGGAAGGTGTAACAGTAACAAATAATCATGAACACATAATTGCAGCCTGTGGTTCAAAAGGTGGCCACTATTACTTGCTGTTATAGTACATTGACAAAAATGCAATCTTCACTAATATGTGTTTTATCTTTGTATTCATTAACCCGTTCAGTATGGGCATGTCATATATTCATCGGCAGCAAACATTACCTCACGGCCGGGTGTGTCATATTTGAACCCATTAATCTTCTGTGGAGGGCAACCAATTTGACTTTTTAGATAGGAATAATTGATTTGTATTGCACTAGATGTAGCTGTATGTCTGTAGTGCGTTATCGAAGTTAGTTGTTTACCTTCATTCCTACGCAATGTTTTTTATTTTTGGTATTTTGTTTCGGAATGAGATTGAGATTCATGGGTGGTTGTTGAGCCATGTAATGTCTCTTTAACTGCGTCATTTGCTATAAACAAATGCACATGTTATCGCTGCATTGAGGTACTTTTTATTTTGCGATATAATGGGATAGATCTTCTATCATTAGAGATTTTTTTATTACTCTTAGATTTTTCCTTCTGGCATTGAGATGAATATTTTGTTATCGTCAGTGAAACGTATTTTTTAAATTTCAAACGAAAGCAGTATCTGAACATAGAATATACGCAAATGCTAATTCGTTAGTAATGAGTAATGTAATGGCTCTTATTGCACTATTTTATATAAACAAATGAACATGTTCTCAATGGTCTGGAATACTTTTTAATTTAATTTATTAATTTTTCTTTATTTTGTTATCTTATAGTGGAGTAGATGTTCTATCATTAGACTTTTTTTATTACTCTTCGAGTTTTCTGGCATTGAGATGAATATTTTGTATCGCTTAGCGAAAGGTTTTTTTAAATGGCAAAACGAAAGCACTATCTGACCATAGAACAACATACGCAAATGCTAAATGAGTCAAATTTGCTGAGTAAAATAGCAGAATTTCTATCTGTACTATGCCAAGTTGGCTTTGCATACACCCTGTTCAAAGAATATCATACATGTCTTTTTTGAAAATTGCTTATTTTTCATTGCTTGCAGTTGAATTTTTTGAAAGACAGTTTATATTTTAAATTTAATTACACCGTCTTAAAAAATCTGTGATTGTTTGGATATTTTCCATATCTATTTCTATTGGGGATAGGGGAACTTATATTATCTAGAGGAGTATTTTATACTTTTAAGGAATTGGAATAAAAGCTTTAAATTAATTCGACACTACATGACGTTTTAAGTACCAAAATTGGAACAATTGGATGAAAAATTTAATTAATACAATTTTTTTACAAGTTAGGTCGCCACGAATTGCCCGTCCTACAAGACTAATCAATGGTAACGCGCCATCCAAACACGCTTCCGTACAGCGATGCCCGCGTGGAGGGTAAATAAACTATAATCAAACCAAGCTATTTCAAAATTTGCTTTACCAACCATCCGTATTCATTTTCCACAACTTTTGTAATGAATGGTATGAAAAAGCTTACAAATTTTATATTTTTAGTCTAAAATATTTACTCTAAAATATTGTAGATTTAGAAGAATAATAAAAGTACCGTTTGAACTATTTTGATAAAATACCAGGAGAGGGTTGAGACTATTTAGAGTTGGTTGAATATGAGATTTTTCTAAATGACTGAATTTTTAGCCTATAATTGATCGTGAACTTAGATGTACGATTGATTAGTCCTTAAATGTTTCTAGATAATTTAAAGCATAAAATCCTTTTGAAATAAAAATCTCAAAGCAATTAAAATAAATTTTCTGAATATCCCCCCCCCGCGAAAAGGCATTTAAATTAGCAAGAAATATTTGGCAATATTTACAGCTCATAGGTAAAAAGAAATGAGAAAAGGGGAAAAAATCATATTCAATATTGACTTTTTCCCCGGCTGCTGGTTACTGTTCAGTGAAATGTTGATTAAAATGTATGTTAATGCATCTGCACTCAAATGTGTATGATGTGTGCATGCATGGATTAGCTGTTTACCATTCATGTACTCAAAAGCATGCCAATAATATGGCAGTTCTGAAGAATGCTGATGTCAATTAGTAATAGTCAGAAGTTAAGTTTCCCTGCATTAAGTAAATGTGTTTGGCTTATTAAAATGATGCACAGATTTCTAGATTTCATTAATGTATGGATGAGAAGTTTGGAGTAATTGGATTGATTTAAGCTAGTGTGGAAATCTTGTATTTTGTCTTGTATGTTTTTTAACAATATTTTTTTACAGATTGTGACTGCATCATACACAGACTTGCAAGATTACACATATTACTTTGTTCCTGCTCCCTGGTTATCAGTCAAATTATTACGCCTGCTGCAGAATTACCCTCCACCAGGTAATATGTTTCATAGTTTGCGTGTATGCAGCATTTATCAGTACTTCAAAAAGTTTTTCTTAAAAACTGGATCTATATTGCATCTTATTGTTAGTAGCTTTTCAACTATCAGTGCCTCTTCCCTTTTTCCTTTTTGATTAGTTTTTTAATTATTATTTTGTAACTTCAGAAGTTACTTTTATGAAAGATATTTTATAAGAATAGTTGGTTGCATAATAATAATTTTCAAAATATCTTTTCTGCAAATGAAATTTTGACTACCTTGGCTGTAACAATGTGCTAATTAATGGTATTTCTTCTTTTCTATGTAGATAATTACAGTATTGCTGCTGTTTTTGTTTAATCAGTGGTAATCTGTATCGTAAACTTTTTTTGTGTTTGCTGAGTTTCTTAATATGGAAGAGAACAATATAGATGCATGATACTGAAGAGAGATTTCTGATTATCAGGGAAAGTTCTTTGATCTTGCATAAGAAAAACATTTTAGGTTTTGTTCATCTAGAATGTGATTTATGCATGAAAAAGTTCATAATGGCTATCCAAATGCTTTTGCCGTTGTGTGATTTAGAATACGAACTAATTTTTCTTTTGAAAATTATCTGCAAAGATAACCTTTCATTTAAAAGTAGTCCATATGCTTTTTTATGCTTTCAAATCCATGTTATTTTGGTCCTGCAAACATTTTGAAGCATGTTCTTAGACCAGAACAACCTCCTTCAAAATATTGCTGTTTTATCTTCATGTTTGGCCAGAAATGGTTTCAAATGCCTTGAAGTCTGATAGATCTCCAATGTCCAATGTTTATAATTGTGCAAACATCCACATCAGAAGTGCCTTTAGTTAATGTGATGATGCAATTACAAAGCTATTTGGATATCGGGAAAAATGTTTACAGGAGTTGATTGTACTAGCATTAAAATTTGAAGTTAGCTCTCATAGTGTTCATCTGTGCACGTTGTTTCTTAGCTTTCTAGAGACTTTTCATCTCTGGAAAGCTGATGTGGTTGGTATGGTGGTTAGTAAATAGTTGGTTACCAGGAATCAGGATTGGCGTTGAATTACATAAGGCATTTGTGACTGTACCATCCTTGTAGCTTGGAAGTACTTAAAAACGATCCAAAAGGATTGCTATGATGGTGATATTAGCAGTCACCTTGCAAGGCCTGAGTTTGAATCCTGGAAAAGACATGGCTTGTAAGTGCAGTATCTGTGCGGCATGATGGGCACATAAAATACTGGTGAGTCAAAAGTCCTTTCAAGTTGTTTGATAGTAGTAGACCTTCAGATCTGTTCCCCAGGGTATTCTCCATAAATTGGGGCAGAGTTGTACAGTTAGTGTGACAGAACTATATTTGCGTGACCATTGGTGAAATTCTGGTGTGTCGTACTTTTCTACCTGTGCCTGATCCAAAAGACATTTCAAGACTTGTAATAGATAAGATCTCCAATGTGAGGCTATTTGATTTTATCGGTATGCTATCAATCGAAATTGGAGTGCAACTGAGACATGTTAGCTTTCCAGTAGATGAATAGTTTTATTCGCTGAAAACCTGATTTCAACATCATAGAATAGCATTAGATTAAGCTAAGATTGTCATTTGTATGGCATGTCATATTCATATTTAAACATCACTTGATAACTGTTTGTAGAAATGGATGCAACCACAACATATTACTGAAATTTAACCTTGAGTATTACCCCATAAGGGCCTGTAAAACTATAGAAGAAAATCTGACTTCTGTTTATGCCTGCCCATTGGCCATGGAAAACTGCACCCTTAGGTCTGATGTGATTTAGGGGTATGCTTCAAATGTATAATGAAGTACTTTATCTTAGAATGCTGTCCACAAAGGAAGTTTTCCTTTTGCACAGGTATTCTTCATTTAATGTGCCTTGATCAGCTAACCAACCAACTTTAATAAATAACTGGTGATTTTTGGATATATTGTGAAAAGTACCAAAATCTGGTGTCTGTCCAGAGTTTCAACAATAATTTTAGATCTAGAAAAGATTTTAAAAACGTAAGACATCTGTAAAAATTTTAAAAACTTAGTCACTTTTAATCAGATGCACAAACACATTTAGAGGGCTTCAAATTGAAATTCATCTTTAGGAAAGTTAGTCTAAGTAGTAATTTATTATGGAATTTGAAATGAAAACTGAGCTTTCAATTTTTGATTGTTTGTTATCATCTTAGTAAGACTTTAGGCCCAGAAAGCTTTAAAAAAAAAAAAAAATTGTAGATTTAGAATATGCATCCCAGTTTTGCAGTTGCATTGTAGTATTTTTTCTGCATATATAGAAGTAATTTCTTCTGAACTGTAACCCAAATCTTCTGTAATTTTTCAATTAAAACTGCTGCTCATTTTAATTTTCTGTAGCTTTAAAAAGTTCTCATATTGTATATATCCCTTTTATTGTTTTTAATAATCTTTATAACATTAAAATCTTTCAACCTTAAATATTAAGGGTTTCTGGAAAAAATGTGAAATTACTCATTTTGGCATGCATGGTGTTAATTGCAGATTGCTGTAGAAGTTGAGTTAAATACATATAGTGCAGCTTGTATCATCTTGCATTTCCTGAAAATTTAATTGCTGTTTTCTGAGCCTCCTAAATAATTGATTTTGAAGCAAAATTATGAAATAATAAATGGTGGCATGTGAAATTTTAATTTCTATGTATGTTTGTTTCATTATATTTATTGGTATTAACATCGGTCACTCTTTACCCACACTTTTACTGAAGTTCATACAAAAAGACACAATCTTGTCAGTTTGTTTAACAAGTAATCGAAAGACTAAATAGAAATGAACTATAATCTTTGAACTATGTAGTCAAAGTTGCTAGAAATGTTAAAAGGTACCTCATATTGCATTCATGTTTATGCACTGCAAATACATTTTAATGGTTAGTAATGCTGTAATTATGTGTTAAATTAGGATGACGTCAACAGTTGGGCCACAGAAGGAAGACTAAAAAAATAATTGTTATGCACTAACTATATTTAATAAGTATTATCAAAATACAAATGTGATAATTGTAAATGACTAGTTTGTATAACAGGCTGAAATTAAACTATAAAGTTTGCATTAATCTAAATATTCATACGTCTGACTAGCCTATGCAAAGCATAAACAGTCTGATAATTACACAGTAGAGATTTCAAGTTCGATGATGTATTTTATTGTGTTTGCTGATAATAAATCATTTAGTAAGGATAAGATTAAAGTGCATTGTTTTGTTATACAGCAATTGCAATTACTTTGTATATCTTTAAATATATCATTGGCATTTTACATTTTGATGCTGCATTCTACAGATTGAAAGACCTTGCTGGATCATGCAGTATAATTTAAAATTCTGATGCTAAAATACTACTATTAAGTATGACATTAAAACCTTAATATTTAAAATTGGACAAAGTTTTCTATGAAAAGATTGGTTGTGAAGCATTATTGAAAACTTTCCAGATCCTACCAGAAAATTTTCTTTTGGTAATAAAAATAAATGATTTTTTCATAAAAGATTTATAGGGCTTATTAATCGTAACTCTTTAATATGACCCAGTCAGCCACATTTTCTTTCTGAATTTAACATTCAAACTCTGAATACCTTGCTTGTTATCAGTATATCACTAAGCTGCAGAATGTAATCCAATGCAACAGAATTCTGTAAAGGCAAAAAAAAAAATAAAAAAAAAAAAAAAAAAAAAGAAGTGGAAATGCTATGTGTTCTATAAACTGTGTCTTTTCAGTCAGGTCTTGCATAACTCTTCTTTAAATACTCCATACTTTAAATGACTCCTATAGTTAAACTATACTTGATTTTAGTAGAATGCTAAAACATTTTTGTCATTAGTCAAAAGAACTTGAAGTATATAAACAGTAGAAATTATTTAATGTAATTTTGCATGGTTTTTTAAGCATCAGCTTACATGATTTGCAAATGAAATGTATATTACCAAGTGCTGTGTGTAAGTGACAGTCACTAATGGTTGTTTACATATATTGTGTAATTTTGGTTTGGTTCTCCAACTTTTTTAGAGTAACAGCATTTATAATGGCACTAAATTATTGTATTCCTGAGTTAAACCTTTCCAGATGGCAGCCCGATATCCTAGACTCTGTTTTGAGATGGAGCGCTGGGCTTCTGTGATGTCTCCACAGAATGGCAGGTGCTTAATTGCTAAGCCTACTTTTGCTAAAAAATTCAGCAAAAATACATTTGTATTCGAATTTTCTCAAATTTTTCAAATATTTCAGAAAATGCATGTATCTTTATGCTTGGTGAATTACAGAATTAAATACTCAAATTTTGCAGCTGTAATTATATTTATATATATATCTATAGAAAGAGAGAGAGAGACAATCAAAGAGTAATTTTAAAACAAACGTTCAGCATTTTTTACACTACAGTTAAAATATTTAATGTAAAGCTGTAAAACTATACAGGCACATCCACGCATACATATATCTTTACACGCACAGTCCTACATTACAGTCTTTGCACTCGAAGTAAGATGTTTTTCCCAACTTGCTTCCTCTGCATAGCCTGGGAGCAAAACAATGCATCATCTCATTTTCTCTCTGGTCTCATTAAGAATTAGAGATAGAAAATGCCTTTCTAAAAGGTGAAATGGCATCATAAATATTGCTTTCGTCTTAATATCTAAACACAAAGAAAACCTGAAAAACTTACATTCAGACAAAAGAAAGAACACCCTACACTACTTACGAAAAGAGAAAACTAAAACTGGACTTATGCCAGATACTGTTCCTCAAAAAGCCACTTGAAAGAAACAAAAACACACGTGCATTGACTCAGCACGCTTGTTTATATTACCTGCTATCTCCTTTAATCTTAATTAATCCTGCTATCTACCTTTCAGAATCAAATGAAGTTGTCCAAGGTCTAAGCTCGGGCATTATAATTCCCATTTATCTTGGTACCATGGAAATAGGACGCCATCTGTTAGGATTAAAAATATTTACATTTCATTCCATGTGATTGTCACATATACATTACAGCAGTCTAGCCAGGTGCTAATCCTCTGAGACAGACATCACACCCGCCATAGATGAATCAAATAATGCTACTGTGACATATATGACGCACCTATACGGAAAGGGTTAAGTGTACCTAAATATTGGCAGAATGGCCAGAGCTGTGAAATTCTGGTAGTTTTGTTTTTATTTTAAGTGGTTAAATGCAATAGTGGCCTGAAATTTCTGTGTTTTTTCTCATGGAGTGTAAATGGAACAGTTTTCTTTTAAAAAGCTCTTGAATACGATCCTTTCAGTAGCCAAATAATCATAGTATACTTGCCATGATCCAATTACCAATTCTAGTCAAATATCATAATTTCAAGCAACTTTTAGAGGTATATTTTATGAGTATAGTTATATATATTTACTTTATTAAAGTTATGTCTAGTGTATGAATAGAAAGGAGTTTGGTGATGTTAGTAAACTTTAAAACTGAATTTTATTTCAGAGGATGCTGGTGTAAGAGGTCGTTTGACAGAGTGCCTTGAAACTATATTAAATAAAGCTCAGGAGCCACCAAAGTCTAAAAAAGTTCAACATTCCAATGCTAAAAATGCTGTGTTGTTTGAAGCGATAAGTTTGATTATTCATATGGATAGGTAACTTTTTTAATTTATATCTACATACATATGTCTATTTAGTATAGTACAGAGTCCGAAATCCAAGCATCCAATATCCAGAATGATTTAACATCCATACCATTTGACCATTAGCAAATTTTTGTAAAGACTGTTCTTGAACAAAATGTATGACTGGAGAATGTAATACCCAAGGTGTGCCATCAAAGCAGTTTTTCTCCCGATGCATTTCTGTGTACTACCTTCAAATGCCTGCTGTCTGGAGAATAGAACTATGTTCATGGTTTGATTCCTTAGACCTTGTCTGTACTGTAGTTGACGTTGTATTAATGTTCACTATGGACATACTTTGGGCTGTTAACTTTCTGAAGCCAGCTGGTACAGCAGTTCTACCAGGAAAATGACCTTGAACGCTGGCTGTGGTACAACTATCGTATCAGCCATTCCCTCCCTATTTTAGAGAATCGCTTATCTGTAGATCTCGGGGTGGTCCATTGTCGCTGCTCAGAATAGCCGCTTCTTATCAGTTTGGCAAAAACTGCAGGTTTCATCTCGCGGCAATATACTTGAAAATCAAATAGAGGCCATCTCTAATTTTTTTAGTACTGACTTTTGCTATGATTAAAACACCAGCGATTTTGCATTCTGTGTAAGCTTACCAGATTTAATGCTTTTTAATCATAGCAAATAAGAATAGATTAATTTTTTAGATTTAATGCGTTCTAGAAAATAACTAAAACCACTTTTATCGTTTACTTCCTTTTTATACTTATGAATAATAAGATTTTATTTTGACATTTATTTTGGAGTACATAAAACCCTTAAGAACTGTTAACTCTTCCAAAGTGCTTCTATTATGTAGGCAATTTTGTCTGATTTATCAGGAGATAAGAGACAATTGTATGCGTAATAATATTTGTGATTTTCATTCATTCAATGATTTCATTCAATGATTGCTTTCAACGATTTTCATTGATTGTAAATTAAATAAAATCAATTTATCTTTAGACACTCTTTTAGGATGAGATCTGCCAAAAAGTATTTAAATATCAGTAAAGCTCACGTTACTTTTTAAATTGAATCAAAACATCAGTTACATTGTATAAAATTTCGGCCAGTTTTATTTGCTGAAATTCTTATACTCCTCAAGAGATAAAGGGAATTCAGAAAAGTTAAAAAAAAATCTTTAAAAAAGGTTGTTATTTTGTCTGTAATAAGGTTAATGTCAACTTATTAATAAATGTATGAGAATTAGGATTGGATTACGGAAAAGCACGCGGACGCTATCTGCTTTAAGGGGATGGATGCTTTCGTGTAAACGTTTTTTAGAGAAAATTGCTCGCATTTACGTTCCTGGTGGAAAACTCTACATGTAATCAACCTGTTCTTTGGGTTTGATTGGATTAATTTTGTTCGCTTACTGAATTACATTAAATCTCACAACAGTTACCTGTATAAGGGGAAGGACTTTCTAAGGGAAGCTGGCTTGCATTTACGTTATACAAAAACCATGAATCCAACCCTTTAGCTTGGATTCAAACCCGAGCGAGCTACAAATGTTCAGCCACCTTTACCGCTGTACTGAAGGGCCCGTAAGATAATTGATAAAGAAAAAGTATTCAAATAATCGGTTTAATTTACTAACCTATATTTCTCAATCGACAGTACATAAATTATGCATATGAGGGGATTATTTGTAAATAAATAAACTGTATTGCACTTTTCTCCACTATTTCATATTACGATGGAATTATTGCATATTAAAGTTATTTCTCATGAATTAATTTTGCTCCGTTCATAATTTTTTATATTTTCAAAGAGAAAATTTCACACTTTAAATAAAAAAATACAGGAGAAGATACTTTATGCAAAATTTGGCGTAAACAGTTTTCTTAATTTTGCTTTGAAAATATTCCAGGGTAATTGTTTTCATTACTGGAAGAAATATGAAAAACAGATTTACTACATTGTAAGCACCCAGTATGTCCTTATTCGTTGAAATTGAAATAGACTTCAACCTTTGGATATAACGATGGTTTTAGACGAAATTTCTACCTATGAAAAGAAATTGACGTATGATTAATTCTTCATGAACATTTAAAACTGTTCTGAAAAATACTTTTGATGATTGCATGTATTTTTTCCTCTGCTAACATAAACAAAAGCCAATTTTACAAAGAAAAATCCTCGTTAAAGATATACCTCCTTTGCCTGATAGTCCAATGTAATATTTGTTAAGTTAAATGGTGAAATGTAACCAATGTATCTCAGATTTTCTTTTTTATATTATAATAACAATTATCGAAAAAAGCAGATTTAAAGCTCTCTTATTGTTATGTAAAGCTTTATTATTGCTGTAAGTTCATCTCAAAATCTAATTGTATTGAATCTCATTCTAATCATCTAATGGTAATAAATAATAATTATTTCATTAAATTAGTCATTACCATTATTTTGTTAAGGAAAATATGTTAAAAGTCGCATTCCAGCCTGCAGACTTACAAAGCTAATTCATATTTATTATATTTTGTAAATTTTTGTTCTCGTTTTCTAATTTCGAATACGAAAATATAAATGAAGAGTGAAAACAAAGTTAAAAAATTCACAAATTATTTAAGAGATTGATCAGAAATAGTGAGTGAAATATAAACATTGCATACATTTTGTTCTAAATAAATAGTGCACTGGATATGCATCCAGTACTGCATACTTATTTACGCACTATTTATCTAGAACTTCATTTAAATGAAAGCAAAATAATCATCGAAAAAAATCTAGGAACCTATCTATTGTGGAACAGCGTCCGACAAACAAGTAAATTTTACTGCATCCATGGAGGGGGACTAACGACTTTTCTCATTAAGAAATTGTCAAAGAGGGGGCAAAACTGTTTCGTATCGTGCCAGTCTGAAGGCCATATTATGAGAATTTCACTCCGGTTTCAGAAGGTTAAAAAGTTGCAGATTTACCATTTTTACATCTGAGCTAAGCACTGAATAAAGCCCCAAGGTATATTTATTTAGAGAAGGATGGCATTCGTAGTGGTTTTCTTTTGTTGGTAGAGCAACAGGGAAAAGGGGGGGATTGGATTCCGATGAACTTAAGCACAATAACTTAATAAATTGTGCTTTTTTCTTTCCTTTCTGATATAAAGCAGCTTATTATTTTGTTCCATCCATTATTATTAATGGAATCAAAATTAGTTTAAGGAAATGTCTTCGTTTTACTCTTTTCCCTGGAACCACATCTGCCCATCAACTAATGTATATTGAAATTTTGCATGCACTGAAATGTGGATATTATGTAGCTTTTTAAAAATTGATGTTGAAGTAAGATCATTCAAGAATTATTTAAACATTTGAAAATGTGTAGGGCATGCAAGATTGTGTGAGGACATGTCTGCAGATATTTCTAAATAATACTTGGCATAATTTATAGGTAGCAACTTAATTTTATGATTTTAATGAGAGCCATGAATCTAATGGTTTTTTAGATATTGCAAAGAAAGAGCAAATTTCCAATTAATGGAACATGAGAAGAAATGCTAAGTGAAGATGATACAACTGAAGTCTTGTATTGCGATGACAATGCTTTAGTCATAAACCAATTAGCAGAATAATGAATATTGATAGGATGGTGTTAAATCCAGAAAATATTTCTGCTTTAAGTCACTTTTTTATTTCAGGTTGTAGTGATTTAGAAAAAATCTTTGCAAAATACCTCTTAAAGAAATATTAGTAATGAATATTTTATTTCTACATGTCCTCTCACTAGTTTGAAACTGGTGATCTAAAATCAGGAATTGCCTAACGATTATGGATCTTGGACTGTGTACTGTATATCAGTTTTTCTTAAATCATGCATTTTTTTATTTTTTAATCATTTTGTATACAAATTTTTTAATTTCCTATTTGTTACCTTTCACTGAAATTGATCTTCTAGTACAGCTCATTTATATATAAACCAGTTTAATTTTAGTGATTGATATTGCAAAGTGCTTTTCAATTTTTAAGAATTGTCTGACAGATGATTTCAGCAAAAATCATTAATGAGTTCTAATGTATCTCCAACTGGTGTTCCATACAATTTTGTTGGGTAGAAATTTGATGATTAAATAGGTCAGAGGTCAGTTTGATTTAGCCCCAGAGTAACTACATTCATTATTTTATAAAAATAAAAGGGTGACTTTATTATCTGTTAATGTAGCAACATTGGCTTAATACCTTATCACAAACTGCTTTCAATAATGATTACTGGTCATAGATTTTTAACAGTTGTTTTTCATATGATCACACTAGGTAGCCTGTATGGCACTCTAGATAATACAGTGCTACTGTGTTTGGCAGGAAAATAAAAATGTTCTTTCCCTGCAGTAGTCAGTGGAAGACCAGTAAAGAACTAAGTATCTAAGCCTAGTTAATGTAGCCGATGTTGGATTGCAGTGCTTGGATCTAAAGGAGGAATATGTTAGTAGATCTGATTCCTGTATTTTAATGAAGCAGTATGGAACAGCATGAAGTATAAACTTAAAAAAAAAAAAAAAGAGAGAGAGAGAGAGAGAGAAATTGTAATGTAAAAACATACAAATGATGTGCACCTCTTGCTGATTGGCTGATGTGGCGCATCTATCACTGACATGAATGAAATGCTACAGATCTATGAAAAACAAAAAAAATGGCCTCACTACATTTGAAACGATTTGGATTGTCGCGTTAGTTTCTGAATATAATTATTCTGAAGTATTCCATCATGTTTATCAATTCTTGCATTTTGTATAGGCAACTTTGTTTAGCTCACATGCAAATTATGTAGATGTCCAAATGTAGGAAAATGTTTAGCTGTTAATGCTAAAGTTTATTCTGATGGATATAATTTCACTGAGGAATGGCAGGTGGGAATACATTCTCTTTTTTGATACATAAAATTGAATGTTAAGTAATCCTTTCGAGTGATTTTTTTTCAGATTGTTGGTAGTTATATTGTCTACAAGCTTTACATATCTAACTTAATCTCGACACTTTAACCAATTTTATAAAACACTGCAATCAGGTATTTGCCAATTGTTTGCTGAAATTAAGATATCGCATTAATTTTTATGTTGTAATAAATAAAAATTTTAAAAACTTAATGTGACATCTTAATTTAGATTCCTTTTAAAAGTATCTTTAATTAAACTTTTTTTAATTACATTAGTTGAATTAAAGAGAATGTAAATTGGCTACTGAGAACTAAGTTGAATGAAAAAATACTTGGAGTATATATACCTTAAATTTCAAATAGTTACCTTACAGCTACCTCTTTGTGTAACGCATATAGAACTAATTTGTGAAGACTTATTTACTGAAATATTCTGTTAACTTCATATCAAATGCATTTTAACAGTTCCTTAAAAAAAAAAAAAAAAAAAAAAAAGGTGGTCCTGATGTGAGACATATTTATCTGATTACTTTCATGAAAGTAATATGAAGTTTTTAACAGTACAACAGCACTATTGGAAGACGTTTACAATTTATGGAGACAGAATCATAAATTAAAAATTGCAGTAGAAAATGTTTCCCACTCTAACACAGTTTTGCAGTTGTGAATCGAAATTTCACATATATGATCCAAGTTTATAATTGCAGTGATATTGGGTGGCATACAATTTGGACTTCATGAATCTCCATGTAGATAGTGGTGTAGCTGGGTTATGTGACTGAAGTTATGAAATAAATTAGTAAAGAACATTGAAGAAATCTATTGCTTATCCTTACAATGTGCAGCCATTGAAACCTGATGGCATGATGGACATTACTGTGTGACTTGCGTTTGGTGGAATTTTCATGCGCAACTGCATATTACATTTATTATTATGGAAACTAGCTTTCTGTTGTAATTTTTAAGTGTATGATTAAAAAAAATGCTCTATAGACTTATCTTTTACTATATTTATGTATGTGTTTGTCCCATTCCCTTGACATATTCATGAAGTGTCAGATCCTTGTCTTATCCAGTAGAAAGTACTTCCGTAAACATGCACAGTGGTTATAGATTTGCATATATTTTATTTCTGCATAATGTATATTTCAGTATATTTTGTTTGTGGATAGCAATTTGAAATTTATACTTCAGTATCATTACTTAAATCTCTGCTTTTTAGTTCAATACTTCAGTATTCTGTATGCATTTGCTCTACTTAAAATATGTTTATTTTCGTAGCACTATGTATTTTCCTTATCTTTATTTGCAGATATTAATGTGCATGAAGTGAATGTTAGGGTAACAAATTAATATGTAACACATAATGATCTGTTTCTTATTCAAAGTTTTTAAGCCATTCATACATGTATGACTGTCAAACAGGTTTTTTTTTTTTTTTTTTTTTTTTTGTTTTAAAAATGTGATGACGAAATAGCTATATGCTCATTTTGGTAATTTATATTTACAGAATTGTTAATCTTTGAACAATATGTTACTCTTCAGATTTTATATATATATTTCTAGATGAATTTCAGCATCATTTAAATTTCTTTTTTCTGACTGAAGTTATGGTATCTGTTTGAGCCATTAACAACCTGTTATTAAGTGGAATTATTTTTTATAACAGTACATTTATCCAATATAAATTATGTAGTTTGGTTAAGATTTTGAATTGAAATATTTCTATACCTATTAATAATTAATCCATTTTCAAAGTTTCTTATTGTTTTATTCAGTGAACCTAATCTTCTTGTGAGAGCATGTAATCAACTTGGGCAGTTTTTACAGCATAGGGAAACAAATTTAAGGTAATTTTATTTAGCCTTATGTTCTAAAGAGATTTTTTTATAAATGAAGCATCTGTATGTATAGTATGTATTTTTTAAAATAGGTATCTAGCTTTAGAAAGCATGTGCTTATTAGCAACTTCAGAATTTTCTCATGAGGCTGTCAAAAAGCATCAAGAAACTATTATCAATGCTTTAAAGGTATAGTTTATCTTCATTTTTCATATTTGAAATTTTTTTGAAATGACTAAAAACGTATTATTTATAAACTTTAATTTTCAGACTGAAAGAGATGTAAGTGTTCGTCAGCGTGCTGTTGATCTCTTGTATGCCATGTGTGATAAAAGTAATGCTGAAGAAATTGTTGGTGAGATGTTAGCTTATTTGGAAACTGCTGATTATTCCATAAGGGAGGAAATGGTAAGTATAATATTTATGTATTTACTGTGGTCTGGCAACTTTGAAATGTGTGCAAGAGCCAAGTTTAGAGAGCGAGATCATTCAAACATATTTTAAGGCGGCCAGGGAATTGCTGCATACTTCACTAATATTTGAATTTACAGATCTTCTAATGGTTATGGACAAAATACTGTTAAAAATTAAAAAAATACATGTGGCATTCAAAATCCAGATCTCCATTGTCTGAAATGCTCTAATACCACTGAAATACAAATGCTGGAATGGATAACATATTTAAAAAGGTGTAATGTAAAATCAGATTTTTCTTGCTACGAACTCGGATTCTTGCATATTACTTTGAAACGAGTAATTGCAATGTGGCCAGTGGCAATAAATTAACATTATATTGAGGCTGCCCACAACCACACTTTTAATACTTGAATAGTTGGGTATTAGCATTTTCTGTTTGACTAAAACAGTAAGTGAAGCCTCAAGACTTATTTGCTTTGAGTGGGATGTTACTTATACTGGTTTTCTTTTGTTGATATAGCAGAAAACTGAAATGATTTGTATTGACAATTAATTGGGAATTCTTGAAGTGGCATTTACAAGACATGAACAATAGAACTTGGTAACTGAACAATAAATTATGTATATGTTTAAAAATAGGAACATATATATATATAGTTTTTAAGGAAATATTAGCAAAGAAACAAAACTTAAAAACTTATTTTGAAAGAAATGTTTAACAAAAAAATTTGAGTCTCCTTTTTTTTTTTTTTTTTTTTTTTTTTTTAATTTTGATTCCCTAATGTCAAAGGATATTTCTTATTTTAATATTACAATTTTTACATGTCATTTCACTAGATTTAAACTGCTAATGTAAAATCCGAAAATTTTCTAAATCTTGAATCAGAAAGATCCTGATGATTATAGATCTTGGATTTTGTTCTGTATTAGCTTCAAATCTTGTACACAATGCGAACCAGTGCAGGATGTTATATGGGGGTAATCCAAATTCTAGAACACATTGCTTCATGAGGTTTTGTTTTCTCTGTGTGTAATATTAATGTAAGCATGTGTTGCTTAAAAAAAATGCTTCACGAAGCACTCCCTTTCGTGTAGTCCTTGCATGCTGTGCCATAACCAATTTACCTCTGTGTGCAAGTTTATTAAAGTTTGTATAAACAAGGCTATTTTTTAAAGTTGCTGGACTAATTTTTTGTAACTTTTCTAGTTAAGTAAAGTCTTGATAATATTTTAATTTATTATATAACTATTTTCATTTATTATGAATTGAATTGAAGTAACTAAATTTTTAGGTTCTTAAAGTTGCAATTTTAGCTGAAAAATATGCATCGGATTATACATGGTATGTGGATGTCATTTTAAATTTGATAAGAATTGCAGGTGATTATGTTAGTGAAGAAGTAAGTGCAGTTCTTTAATTAACATTCATTTAGTTCATAAATGTAAAAATTTTTCAAAATAGCTTGGTAATTTTTCTTTAACTTTGGAAATATTTTTAGGTGTGGTACAGAGTTATTCAGATTGTTATAAACCGTGATGATGTTCAAGGATATGCTGCAAAAACGGTGTTCGAGGTACTTTTCTATTTCATAATTTGTTATAAAATTTGGCATGTGTTCAATCAAAATATGCATTAAACAGAATTTTTTTTCAGATAGTCTGAGTTACATTCAATATTTATTCTAGGCTCTTCAGGCACCTGCTTGCCATGAAAATATGGTCAAAGTTGCAGGCTATATACTAGGAGAGTTTGGAAACCTGATTGCTGGGGATCAAAGGTCAAGGTAAGATGTCATTTGAAGAAGTATTCCTTTGCTTCACTGTATTAAACTGTTTGGAAGATGCTTTAAAGACGAAGTGGTTAAAACTGTGAAATCATGTTAATTTGCAAAAGTTCTGTTCTCAGCAGTGAGCAAGCTGGTTTATGAAGTTTTGTTTTACTCTTTTGTAATGTAAATGTGGATTAGTTTCCCAATTGTTTTAAATAGGAAGGTGCATATAATTATGAAGAAGGCGAAAAAATTATCTGAAGTAAAAGGTTTTCTCTCTATATATATATATTTAAAATGGGAGTTTGCATATTTTGTGTACAGAACTTTACCATAAGGGTTCTGTAAACTTTGTCATTTTTAAAATTGAGCCAAACAGTCTCTTTCGTGTATCCAACATGGATATTGATTTCTTATTATGGAAAGGATTGATCATCATTCAACAAATTTCTTCAGATATGCATGTTTTTTCAGTTTTAGTTCTATTATCAAGATTTCTTGGCAAAGTGATCTAGAAGTTAGGCCTTCTAATTCTAAAGCTTAAATTCTAACAAAATTCTAAATCTAACAGTTCTAACAGCAAACATATGTAATAGCATTGTGGACAAGCATGCAAATATAATTGCTCTTTTTTTCATTATGTATCATTGCCTGAATTTTCTGCTAAATTTTCAGCAACCTTATGTCACCATGATTGTTGCAAAGAAAAAAACTTTAAAATTGTGCATTATTAATAATATGGCAATGAATTAATTTAAGAAATTATGTGCTTTACTGTAATTCTGAAACATTTTTTAGTAATTAAGACTGATGCATAGTAAGTGAGCTACTTGGTGTTGGATGGACTTTTACAGTTCTTTAACTTCCATTTCATTGAAGACAAATGGAAAACCACTTTAAAGCCAGTTTTCTTTTATTATTCCATTTTTTTATATAAACCAGTGGTCTCTTGGCAAACATATACCTTAAGCAATTATATACTGCTAGTGAATACATTTCAGCTGTATATGTTGCATATACAGTGTAAATATTTCAAGATTTAGTTATTTGAAATCAGAGTTTATGCTGTTTTCATTCAACTTAAAAACGAGCATAAATAATGTACATTAAAATCTATAGATTAATTTACAATGTGATATAAATATTAATCAGATTGGAAGCTTCAAATTTTCTTAACTGTTATCCATACTTCTGTCAAACAGTAAATAAGCTGAGATAGGAATTTTTGCACTTTGCAAATATAGTTATAGAACACAGCTTGTTGAACAGTTGCAAATAAGAAAGGAACCCGATTAAAGAATGAGCATCTACAGTCCACAATGAAGACAATTTATCTCCAAAAGTACAAACACTATCAGAACAGAATCACCATCAAATGTCAGGATATAGTAGAAAATAAATTTATAATTATTTGCATACAAACATGTATTTTTATTTTTGCATCAAAAAATAATTTAAGTAAGAGAGACTAGGTTTTTATCCCACATGGAAACATTTATCTGAAAACAACAAAAGTTTTCATAACTTGTTAATTTTAGTTTAAGTAATTTATTTAATGATTAATTAAATGTGTTAGAACTATTTCAACATGTCAGTCTGGTAATTTCATATGTAGCTATCAATATACAGTCAAAAGTCGTTAATTCGGACACCCATAATCCGGACCTCAAAGCTACAAACTTTCTGCGCATGAGTGAATGCGACGCGAGGTGTTTACGAGTGCGCGTAAGACCTTTACGGCTGCGAATATGTTTTTGCACATGCGCATTTAATGTGCAACGGACGGTATAATCTAAGCAAAAATTATTTAATTCAGTTAATGTTGCAGATTGCGTTGTTCCTTAATCTTCGAATTGGATCCGGCTTATTATTTTTTGCGGACTGTTAGAGCGATTTCATAAAAGTAAGCTTGAACTTTCGATTATGTCAAATAGAATTTCCGATATATATTTACTAATATGTAATTTGTATCTACAAAGCGAAAGTATGTTTCGAAATCCGAAATCTGTTTATCAATTTCACCCCGCAGATTGGAAGTTGATCTGTCAGCACTATCCTTATCTTCAGGACAGATGTTTTAATTTTATTTGGCTTATAATTCCTTACTAAGTGTAGTATTTCATCTCAGTGTACTCTGTCTTTGATATGATTTAAATCAAGTTCCTCGTCATTATAATTCGCTTCCGCTAGTGAAGAAAGTGACCCACAGGTTATTGAAAACGAAAACATTTCGATTGACAAATTAGTCGGTATTCTCAACACAGCAATTATAGGACTTGAACAGCGGAACTTTGTAACTAAACAAGAAATTATGTCTGTTTAATAGAATTAAAGAGAAAGTATCACATGAAATGAAGCAACTTACATTGAAAGAAATGTTTAATAAAGTAAACAAATAAATATTAAGCTTTTTCTTTTTGTAAATTTTGATACCCTTTAGATCATAATTGTTCTTTATTTCATAAATTACGGTTTCATATTTTTAATTTTGTAATTTCTGCATGCCATCTTACCAAATTTAAATGATCTATAATCTGGAATCGCCGAAGTCCCAACGAGTCCGGATTAACGACTTTTGACTGTATTAGAATAACGAAATGTAACCAACAAAAATGTCTTGCAAGTATCAAATTTTAGATTTCAGATGGAAAATATAAATTTCACTTTTTGTAGAGTATTATTGTTTATGTATGTTCTGATAAATATTTAGTGACTGAAAGTTAAAAAATTCCTTTTATTAAAAAAAAAAGTGACTCATCAGCTGTTGCCAGATCATGCATTTGGAGTTTTAGACTAGTGGTGTAAATGATTTAACACTGCATATTAAATACTAATATAATATTTAAATATTAATGTATATTAAATCACTAAACACTGTAAATATACACTTAAAAATTGTTTATTTATACATATTAATATTTTTTTTTATTTATTTCAGCCCTCTGATTCAGTTTCAGCTTCTTCATTCAAAATATCATCTATGTCCTGCACCAACTAGAGCTCTACTTTTAACAACCTATATAAAATTTATCAATCTTTTTCCTGAAATAAAACATGAAATTCAAGCAGTAAGTATTTGCTTATCCTAAATATCAAGTGCTATTTTTTAGATAAGATTTTTCAGTTTTGTATATTTTTGTAGAAATGTTCCTTTGGCCTTAGATTTAGTTTTGTATTTTTTAATTTAATGATTTAAACGGTTTTAGGTAGTTTTACTTGTAACGAATATTGTGTGTAAAACTTTCTTTGTGGAAATACGTGGCATTTTAAGTAAATATGATTTACATACAAATAATAAAAATTCTGAAGTTGTTTTGCTAAAAAATTTTTTGCCATTCATCCCAGTATTTATCATATGCTTTATACATGGAAAACAAATCAGATGCATACTACAGTACAAAGTCCGAAATCCAGACGTCCATTATCCGGAATGATTTAAAATCCGGACCCCAAATCCACAAATATTTTTTTTTAATAATGCTTTACGCATGCGCATTTGATTTTTCCTTCCACAATAAAATGTGGAGATACTTAAAAATTCCGATTCTTAATTTCGCTTAGGCACTAAATGAAATACCTCGTTATGGAAAAACAATCGTGTAAGCATAAACTTGTGAGATTAATAATTTGGCTCCGTAGCTGAATATCTATTTGGCATACATCTCAAACCGAAACATTCACCTATTTTGTATCCCTGACGCCGACCTGGCGAGTCATTAATTATTATATTTTGCTTTCATTACCTCATATTTATCAATACATGACAGCTTCAGTAATAACTCAGGCTGTGATGTCTAAACTTTTTTATATTACTAATTGAATAACAAGAGTATGGCAACCTTTTATACTAACATTATGCTTGGCGATGATTATAGATTTTTAAAAGCTCAAAGAAATGTTGACGAGGAAAAATTCAACAAAAATTTCTTTTCGTATGCTAAAAATAGATTTTGTTAATGAAACTCATAGGCCAAAAGATTATATTTAAGGCTATTTTAATTAAGAATAACTGATATGTTATTCACCATAAACCCAGAAGCGGTGGCAGCATCTGTCTTCACCAGACGGCAGAATTTAGGGAAGACTAAATTTTTGGAATTTGTGGAAGCACCGAGCAACAAAATTAAGGGATAAGAAGTTTTTACGATTTAGGGAAAGCACTGGGATTCAAAGTTTAGTCACGATGAAAATTTAGAACTTAGGAAAGTGCTTTGTAGCAGAATTTAAGACCCATAGATAGTGCATCAGGCGGTATCGAGTGACGGCCCTAGATAAAGACTTAAGTATATTAATTCAGAAGTCAAACAACAAAAATCAGCATTATACCTACAAAATTTTGTAGGTATAACGCTGATTTTTGTTGTTTGACTTCTGAATTAGTATTTATTCGGCGTGTTTTTGTGTCTTACTTAAGTATATGTCGGAGTTTATATATTCAGGACTCGGATTAGTTTGAAGCATGTGCAAAAAATAAATGTAGGTATAGTAAATAACTAAACTGATACAATTCAGGCTTAATTCAATTAATCGTAATTTAATTGCAATAGGAGCAAGACAAAATTTAGCGAAACAACTTGGCTTTCATCGCGAATCTTGTGATGCATATGCAATAATGTATAACGTATGGCTAAAATTATATTTACTGATTCTAAGGCATTTCAGTTAATGTAGCGGACTGCGCATCCCCCCTGAATCTTCTTAGTTTGATGCCAGCTTATTATTTTTTGCAGTCTGTTATTATTACGGCAATTTTATAATAACTAAGCTTGAACTTCGTATTATGTCGAAAAGAGTTCCCAAAGGATCTACAAAGCGAACCTATGTTTCGATGTCCATTAAACAAAAAGTGGAATTGCTGCAAAAAATGGATAAAGGCATATCTGTATCAAAATTACGCGAGGAGTATGGCATCGAAAAGTCCACTGTATGTGACACAAGAAAAAAAGAACTTTTTGAATTTTTTTGTGCAAGCATGTTAAACAACTTGCATTGAAAGAAATGTTTAATAAAGTAAACAAATAAATATTAAGCTTTTTTGTAAATTTTGATATCCTTTAGATCATAATTCTTCTTTATTTGATAAATTACCATTTCATATTTTTAATTGTACAATTTCTGCATGCCATCTTACCAGATTAAATTGATGATCTATTATCCGAAAAAATCCGGAATCGCCGAAGTCCTGATTTCGGACTTGTACTGTACTTTTAAAAGAAGAAAGATTATGCAATTTGCAAATGATGCATTTGTACAATTGTTCTTAATTTTATCCTGACTTCAGGATGTATTGACTGTATTGGCGGCTGCTTTGTGCAGAAGTCTACTATTGACGGACATAATTTCTTCTGTAATATTCGAATTTAGATCTGTTATATTATTCAGATTCTAATAATTTACCCTACCTCTGAAATACGTCTAGGGAAAAATGTAAATAGGGGTAAAGTAGGTGATCTTTGGGGGAGGGGGGCAAATTTACATCTTAATTTGCCAAAATTTTTCTTTAGTTCTGTTTTTGGAAATTTTATGAATTAAATTTGTTTAAGCTTTTTTTTTTTTTTTATGCCGTTGATTTAACCTGAGTTTCATTTGCATTGCTGGACTTACCATCTTCTGTGTATGCATTTTTATTAGATAGTTGAAATGTTTCCTTTCTGAATAAATCTCTGGGTGTAAATTACTTATAGATTCTTAAAAGTGATAACAATATTAGAAGTGCTGATGCTGAGCTACAGCAGCGGACTGTTGAGTATCTTCAGTTAAGCAGTATAGCTACATCTGATGTCCTAGTAAGTATAATTTAAAGTTTTCTGATAGTGTTACATTTATATTGTTTAATAATCGCCATAATGGGGAATAGTTGCCATAATGTTAGTTTTTATCAGCCATGGAGACTGTTTCATAATAGTGCCCTGTCATAAAGGAATCCTAATTTATATTTATATCAGTTTCTAACATTAAAAAATTCCTTGCATACACTTTATGCCATGGTACTGCTATGCAGATAGAATTTTAGTTTGCTGTTTGATTAACAAAGAGAACAAAAATCTTGCATGGTGATGCTCCAGCGTAAAGTGTAGATACCTTTTATGAAGGTTCCTGTACTTTATGAGCCCTCATGACCTTTTATTAACTTTATTTACCTTTATGCAGTGACCTCTTATGAAGGTTGATTTTTCAAATTAAAACCTCATACATATTCTGTTATTTCAGACATTGCCCAGCTTGCATTAAGGTGTTGGCCTTTTTATGACGGCATCATTGTAAAGATGTCTCAAACTTTAAGTAATGTGTAGCAGTTTAATTTTTGGACAAATTGTTTAGTAATTGGCTTGGAAATTAATAGGTGTGTTATTGAAAAAATTCTGATATTGTACACATATTTTGCAAAATGGGCACATAATACTAACCTGAATTTATGTATGATATTTAATAAGAACCAGAAACAATGACCAGTTTTTACTCACTTTAGTGAGATGCTCTTTATGTTGAAACTTTAATTTGAATTAACCATAATATCAGTCTCGCTTATTAAACTTGATAAAAATGGTTTCAGCTATAAGCTTATTCTTATCACTAATGGCCATACAGCTAATTTTTCATATATGTTTATATAATGCCTTATTATTGAAGTAGAGAATTATCCATGGTTTAGAAGGAATAGTAAAGCTTACTAAAGACAAAAGCCCATTTTTTTAGTCTCTTTTTAGATGACTGCAAAGTATCAATGATGTAAATGACACTCTAGATGTTAAACACCAGATAAAACTTTTTCCTAACAGGAATCAAATTCTTGAAGATGTTCTGTTGCTTATAACATTTTGAATTATGTTTAATTACTTTAAAGTGAAATTTTGTCAATCATATAAATAGATGTAAAGGAACTGCTTTTAAATTTAAGTCTGTCATTTACTAATTTTAGAATTGGACTGTTATTAGGTGTTTTTACATTATAATTACTAAATTTGTACCTTTGTATTATGATTTTAATGGGAATATATATAAGATAAACAATATGTAAATTGGAATTAACTTAAATTAGTAATTTGGCTCTGTTTTAAAAATAACTAATTTTTTCTGGACGATGTTGTTTCTATAGCATATGAATGTCATATGATGTTTACGTAATGGTGATGTCATAGATAATTCAAAGCTTAAAATTTCCTGAACTGAAACCTTTCTCGTAATGAGTTGCCATGTAGGGATGACTACACACTTAGCTTCTGCTTATGTTGCCACTAGGACACTGCCATGCTTTTTTCTTCCTATCCCAGTAATATCAAAAATGTAAATACTTTGGAAATAGGCACAAGTAGAGTGCAAAGTTATTTGTGGCTGCCAAATGTCAGTTGAAATAAAGATGAATATTTAATCTGCTCCGGCTGCCAATTTGCATTATTATTGGCTGCAATTATATATATGTAGTTTATACATGCTTTTCGCTCAGATTTATGCTAAAATATAAATTATTTGATTTTTTGCATCTCGAAGAATGGCAAATTCTTGGAGATTCATATCTGAGAAGGCTTTAAATTTGTCATCAAAAAATTATTTAATTCTGAATTTGAGCAGTAAAGGCCAGCAGTGTTTAATCATTGTCAGAAACATCTTTTGTATTTCTTTAAATTCAAACTTTATTAAATATCTGAATTCACAGTAGGTTATATTAGCATAGCATTGTCGTGTAGTAGCTGTTTTTCCAATCTGCTCCGTTAAAATATCCAGGCATTCTTTTAGAACAAACAATACACTAGAGAAGCGGTTCTAAACCGGAGGTAGGCAAAAAAATAGGTGGCACGTAAAGGAGCAAAGTATTTTTAACTCTTAAATTCAAAAATCCTATATCCTGTTAGTTTTTTCTTTAACACTCGTAAATTTATGTGATCTAAGCTTTGTTCAAGAACTTTAGCAAAATATTTTCATAAATATTCTTTTAGCCATAGATGATATATAACAAAATTTGTCATAATGTTTTTAAAAGGAGTAATAGAAATGGATGTATTTAATAGGAAATAAAAAAAGTTCCAATAAAAAGACAATAGTATCTCATTAATTCTTTTACACTCCTCAAAAGTGAAATTGCAGCACCAAAAAAGAATGCGCATAGCGTCATGCAAATTGCAGGAGCAAGAGTTGTGAGGTGGATATGCAAATGATGAAAGTTGCACATGCATTGGATCAGGTGATACGCATATGCGGGATATAAAAATCAGCCACTTTTCCTTCTTATAAACAGCATCTGAGGGTTTACGGAGCATTGGAGACTTTAGAAAAAGCATAGAAAATACCTCCGAGACGTCGGCGAGTTCAATACCATCAGTTAATGACCGGGGAACATGACCGTATTATCAAACTCGGTGAACTTTTAGTTTGTCACTGCGCACAATAGCCACTCGTGTTTGGGCACAACATGAGTACCATCCAGTGTTGTGTCACATGATAGATTCAGGAAGGTGCACATCAGGTGATTCAGGAAGTGGTGTGCATAGGTGCACATCATAGCACACAGACCAGCATATTCAGCAGGCAACTATTGGAGACCCTTTCTCCATGTCGCATGACATCCAAAGCCAGTTGCCTCAAGGAGCAGGTAGATCTGTGTCTGCCCAAACTATATGCAACAGATTGCATGAAGTACACTTACATTTATTGGTACCAGCCACAGGTGTACCGTTGACTGCTGAATACAAGACTAGATGCCTGGTGTGGTGTCAGCGTCATAGTGCATGGAGAATCAATTGGCATCGGGTGTTGTTCACAGATGAATTGCGTTTCTGTCTGTGGAGGAACGATGGCCATCTATGGATATGGCGGCTACCTGGAGAATGCTACGAAACAGCCCATTTCGCCGAGCATCTCACCAGTCCTGCACCGGGCATTATGGTTTGGGGTGATCACAAGACGTCACTGGTACACATTAACGACAGTTTGACAGCGGACCGCTACATCACACAAGTTGTGGAGCCTGTTGTTCAGCCCTGGTTGCAGTACACATCCAACACAATATTCCAGCAAGACAATGCCAAGCTGCATGTCACACCGCATACTCTTAACAGCCTGACCAGATTTGACATCCTGCCCTGGCCGGCAGCTTCTCCAGATCTGAATCCTATCGAATACCTGTGGAATGTAATTGTGTGACATTAACCGAGGACCACGGGCATAAACCCTGGATGATCTGCTTACAGCAATGGATGTGGCTTGGCAAAGGCTACCTCATGTAACCATCAAGAACTTTTTGATAGCATAGAGGATTGCGGCCTGTATCACTGCCTGAGATAGGCACATTAGATACTGAATAAATTGGTTTATAATGATTTTATGTGTCTGTTTTTTTAATCATTTGCATATCCATCTCGTAACTCTCAATCCTGCAATTTGCATGACGCTACGAGCATTCTTTCTTGGTGTTGCAATTTCACTTTTGAGGAGTGTAGATTTGATCAATTTATTAGAATGTCTACACTTTTATGCTGCCACCATTTCCGGGCTCGTATCGCTCTATTTTCAATTGCAAGCAAATTTTGCATCTGTTTTGTCTTATTGCTTCGCATTCCTTGCTTTTCTACGCGGTTTGAGAATATCATCATTTGTTTTTGAAGAATTTGCAGTATATTGTGCATTTAAATATTTGAGAAAAATAATAAACCTAGATTTTTCAAAATGGAAAATGGCTAGGATCTTTAAGTAGAAAAGTGATGATTCATATGTGATGGATCCAATACAAAATAAGAGCACTAAGAATATTGGAAAGAAAAGTTGTTTATAGAAAATATAATCAGTTATTTTATCATTTGGGCTTTCTTGGAGTGGAGATGAAATGCACCCTCAACTTCAATGTGTTGTTTGCAGTGAACTGTTATCCAGGCAAAGTATGAAACCATCGTTTCTTAAGACTTCTTGAATCTAAGCATGCCAGTTTAGAGAATAACTCTGAGAATATTTTAAGAAGAAATCGCATTGCTATTGGATGAAAGTACTGATGTGACGTACTTTGTTCAATTAGTAGCTTACATACCGTTTGAAGAAGATAAACGAATTGCCGAAGAGTATTTATTTTGAAGATCTCTTCATGATAGAGCAACTGCAAATTAAATTTTCAAAGTAATGTACAGTTTTATGACTGAGAATGATATGTCTTGGAGTAAGTGTGTTGCTGTATGCAATGAGTGAGCTCAGGCTTGAACAGGGAAACATTCAAGTGCTATTTCTCAAATAAAATATAGGACCTGAAATTAAATTTACTCACTGCTTAATTCATGGTGACGCTTTAGTGACCAAAGCAATCCCAGAAACGTGAAAATTGTTTTGAATCAAACCGTGAAAATTGTTAACTTTATTAAAAGACATCAAGAATATTTATGATTTTACGTCGAGAGGTCGGTAGTGAACGTGAAATGCTTTTGTTACATTCCAAAGTAAGGCGGTTATCCAGAGGCAAAGTTTTAAATCTTTGAACTTCAATCAGACATTCAAATTTTCCTCAGGGATTAAATATTTGAATTGCAAAAATGTTTATTTAGGGAATTTTGGTTGGCACGTTTAGCATATTTAGCTGATATTTATGGAAAGTTAAATAAATTTAGGATTACAAGGAGAAATTTTGTTTACCATTAGAAATAAAACAAATGCAATTTAAAAAAATTCGAGCTAATAATCAAAGAATTGGATTCTAATATTTTAAGCTTTTCACCACGTTTAGAAAGTTTTCTAACAGAAAATAATTTGAAAATAGAATAAGCAATATCATCCGACATTAAAAAATGATTGTTTTCATTGATAAATAATTTCAACATTCACTTCCTGAGGATTAAGAAAAAGAAAATTGGATTCAAAATCTGTTTTGTTCAAATGTACCTGAAATTTTATCTCGTGAAGAGAAATATCATTAGATAGAAATTTCCAGTGATTGAACTCTAAATGAAGATTTAAAAAATAAAATACTAGTAAACTTTTGGCTGAACCGGGGGAAAAAAATAATTTAAAGGCATTTCAAAAAAAGCTATTAAATTTTTGTTGCCTTTTCGCACAACCTATTTGTGTGAACAAGGATTTTCTTCCATGTCGCATTTAAAAAATAAATACAGAACAAAGTTAAAAGTGGATGCTAATTTACGGTTAAAACTAAGTGAAATAAGACCAGGCATAAAGAAATTGATCTCTTAAGCAGACCCAAATTTAGCACTAAATTTTAGATTTGAACTGTTATAACTTAAAATCTTAAAGATGATTAAAATGGTAACCAGTTTTTAATCTAATATTTTTATGTGTGCTTTTTTTTATACAAATACCAAATAGGTTGTGCAAATGGCAAAATATATTTTTTAATATTTCTATTGAGAAATTGAAAAATAATCATTGTAAAATGTAGTGGTGGTACTAAAGTTTTTCAGTTTTTGTTTAGTTGGTACACCTTAGTCAAAAGGTTGAGAACTGCTGCACTAAAGAATAAACTTTTTGTAAGGGGAAAAAAATTCTTGAAAATTTTATGTTGATTTATAGTGTTTTGAATTATGTTTAACTACTTTAAAATGAAATTTGATTGGTTGCAAAAACTGGGAAGATAGAATTTTAAATTTGTTTTTGTGAACGACAAATTCAACATGTCATCGAACAGTTGCTGTCCAGGAGCATCTAGAAAGTGAGGGTATTCAATGCCTCCTATGGCCAGCACATTTTCCAGATCTGAATTCCATTGAAAATGTTCGGCATGCTTTGGGAAAGAATCTTACGCCAACATATGTCTTACTTCTCCGTGACAAATTACCCCTACAGCAGCTGGATAATGTTGTGCAGAAGCATGATGCATTGTGTGGAATCTTGCATTGTCTTCCATGGTGACCATATCATGTACTGACGTCTTATGCCAGAATACCTGTGAAATTGCATTTTTTTTTTTTTTCACTTTTACGTATTCAGCACAAAGTGGTCATTTTGTCTTTTGTCCTCTTAATACTTTTTAAAGCCTTCTGGATTTTCAAACACAAATTATTTTTATGGCTTAGTATTCTGGCATTATTTCATTTGGCATCCCACCACCTAGATAGAGGAATTCAACAAGCAGTATACTGTGAAAGCTTTATTGTTGTTGCTTATGCTTATTTGTTTGACGTATTCAGCCAGCCGCAGAATTCCTCGTGGCAAGGAGGACTAAATTACGCCTGCCATTGGCAACAGCCTTGAGCACCATTCAAATGACAGTATGATTTAGCTCATTTCTGCCCCCAATTTTGATGGAGAATACTCCGGGGATGGGTACAAAGGTCTCCCACCCCTCTTCCCTTCGATCAGACCACACGAGAGGACTTTTGGCTCACCGCATACTTAGAGTGCCGCCGTGCCGCACTGACACTATACATTTACAAACAAACATGCCTTCTCCAGATTTAAACCCAGGCTCTTCGACGCAGCAGTCAGCTATGCTGACCACTATACTGGTTGAGCGGCATGGAAGCTTTAAGACTGTTGTATAGGAGTTTTGAAATAATAATTACAAGAGCTGGCAACCGATGGCATTGTACACTGGCAGCTGATAACTTTGAATTTTGATTGAAAGCATGTCTAATCTGTGTCTCAGTGTTTTCTGCATGCTGGAATGCTTCAAACCAGTCTCTGCTTTGGATGGCTTTCCTTGGATGTTGCTGAATAATTCCTGAAACAGTTGTGACATTTTCAGGAATAATTACAGTTTGCTTGTGACCAAAACTCCCTACCTGATCACTGGCCACGCTGCCTGTCCATTGGACATTCAGCAAAGAGCTTGTGAACGGTTTTTCACATTGGATTCTTTGCGAGCATTTAGTTGTTTGAAAACTACACCTTGTTGCCATAGAACTGTGATTTAACCTTCATTGCATTTCTGGTACTATACCAGAAATGCATGTTGTTCAGTGAAATACAGGATTTTAACATCTTTACATACGCTAACTTCCTTTCACATTTCAAAGGCAAAACTGATCGCTCTTTTACATCTTTTGGAACACTGTTTATACATACTACATATTGTGATTACAGCATCGTCTTTCTGCAACTTTTGTAACTATTGTTTGGAAACTTCTGTATAACAACCTTACAGCTTTCACAACAAATATTCTGCTTGATGTAGTCCTCTATCGATCTTTGTTTTTGAGATTTTTAATTTTGAAATCAGGGACTCCTTTGCTGGATATTCATTCTGTAGCTGTGTAGTTAATTTCTGCAAATGTTTTTTGTAATTGTCTGACCTACAGTTTAAGTCAGAAATATGTTACACATCATGCCTTGTTAAGTATGACACCATAATGGCTGAAATCGTATATTATTGTAAAGTTAATTCTTCAGACTGAAAAACAATGTAATAAAACAACCAAGTTAGTTTTTTTTTTTTTTTTTTTTTCCCCTTTTCTCTGGGTTAATATTAGCAAAAGCTTTTAGTCATTGATATTGCTGTGTCAGTGCTCCGACAATCTAGCCTGGAAAGCTTCTTTTTCTGCATGCTTTCAATGCTGCAACAGTAGTTAATTAACAATATTTCAAAGGTGCAGCTATATTTCAGACTTTGTATTTTCAGATTTCTGTTAGTTTGAGTAGTTATCTATTTCAAATTGCAAGTTTGCATAATAAAATAATATAAAAATTTAATTTGAAAAAGAAGAAAATTTTTATATTTTAGGCTACTGTTTTAGAAGAAATGCCTCCTTTTCCTGAGAGAGAATCCTCGATTTTGGCCATTCTAAAGAAAAAGAAGCCTGGGGTAGCTGAAGGACTTCCACCAAATGCCGTTACCAAGGAACATCCTGCATTGTTTAATCACAGCGTAACTAACAATGTAGAAGTAAATAATACGGTGAGTAAATGTCTTATAAAGTTAACTCTTTTGAACTCTGTACTGTTGTAAATATTTTTCAAAGCTGAAGCTTAGACACATTTTAATAAAGAAATGACAAATTATTTGGGCAAAGAAAAGTTGATTCCAAACTTCATAACCAAAACGCACTTTTCTGTGCAAAATTTAGTGCACATGCTAATTTGTAACCAGTGTAATGTTGCTCACAGAACAAGTAGATAGGATTATGTGGCTGTGTATATTAACATCTTGAGGAGATCTCCTATCATCACTTTTGAATTCAGCATCATGGTTAATGCTGCTGAATGCAAAAGAACATATTTTTAGTGGTGACATTTAGTAGTGTTTTATCATAATGGTAACTCTTCATAAGAAGCTTTGTGAAGTTTCACGTTCTAAATCGGCTTTGAAAAAGGGCATTTGCAGAAAATGGTAGTGAAACTCCAAGAAATGTTTTTGTGCATTTAGCTAGGAAGAACATGATAGCACATTGACGCATGAATGGGGGAAAAAAAAAAAAAAGTGATAAATATGAAAACCCTCAGGCATTTTGCCATAACTAAATAAACCAAACCAAATAAATAAACCAAACCAAGTAACTAAATAAACCAAACCATAAACTGAACCCAGGACCAAGAGTTAAACAAAACTATTTAACTCTTGGTCCTGGGTTCAGTTTATGGTGATTGAATGTTTTGATAGCACATGGTTTTTCATGGTTTTTCTGTTGCATAATGTGAATATGAGCAGCTGCTTCTTAGGTAGATAGCCATCATATGTTTTGCCAAAATTAACTAACCAAACAACTATTCTAGCATCTGAAGGTTGCTTAGTTAATTATGCCAAAGCACATGAGAACTATCAAGGGAAGGAAATAATAATAAATCATGCACCCAAACTTGCTTATGAAAATAGTTTTGGTTTCAATACCCTTTTTTTTTCCAGCTCCGTATTAAGCGGGAGGTCAAGTTGAAAAAGAAATTCAACCCCATTCTGGAGATATGTTAAACTCTGGGTTGAAACCTTACCTAATCCTGGCCGCAGGCTTTTGAGGATAAGAGAAGAAAAGGCCTAAACCTGTTGCATATGGATGTACTCTCCATTTAAAATTATCTCAACTAGTAACTCTGCTTCTGTGTACCTCTCCAAGTCCCTTGAATACAGATTTTAACGAGCATTATAAACAATGGAGAAATTAATGAAAGGTAGCCTTCCGGGAGAAATTTTGGTACTTAACGTATTAATGCCACCGCAGCTGCAGATTTGGTGGTTTTTTAAGTGCCGCCAATATACACCTAAAATTTTTGCTCCAAATCATAAATTAAAATACTTTATTTAAAATCAAAGGAGCCAATTGGATTTTGGTGGAAAATGGGCCAATGTAGAGTTTAGCATAGATTCAAATCAGTCTCTGTTTTCTTTGACCTGATGCTGTCGCTATATGAAATCTGCTAAATAAGATTCTAAATGTCTCGCTGTCCTCCCTATGTCTCTTGTTCCTCTATATAGCACTGCCCTACATTATCTCAACTGTTTGAGTATGAACTCCTGTATCAGGAGCCTGGTGAACTAGGAACCAGGGTGTTACACCGCTTCTTTCGTGTGACTGAAACAATCAGTAACACAACCTTCAGGCTATAACCCTTTGTGGCATGGTGTGCCCGGTCTAGGCACATCCAAAAATTTCTTTCTGTATGCAGAGAAAAAGGATGTAGAGGTTATTCAGAACCTTCTTTACTTATAGTAGATGGCAGCTCAACACAAACCAGTCCATATATTTTAGCCATGTTTTAGTTTTTTAAGACTCATTTTTCAAAGAAATCTTCCTGATTTATTTCAGGCTATAAAAAGAATTGTTTGAAAAGAAATTTCTCTCTCTCTCTCTTTTTTTTTTTTTTTTTTTTTTTTTTTGGCTGTGTGCTAATCTCCTTATTCTATATTAGTTTTAAATTTTTGCCTTGAAATCTTGCCTAAAACCGAACGGCGAACTCAAGGTGGGCCTAGACTGGGCACACTAAGACTCTAGGACAATTCTTTGTTTCTCCGCATCTCATCGGTCAGTTCATTGACAACAGAAAGGTAGGTCCACATCTGTGTTTCATTTCTTGTTTTTTTCTTTCTTCTTCTTTTTTTTTTTTTTTTTTTTTTTTTAGATGGGATATTTGATTATTAACTAGCAAATTGTTGGGGTGATTTTCTGAAGGTCAAGGGTAATTTTATCAGTTAGCTGTTTGGTTTTTCACTAGAGCAGTTCTCTTCTCTTTCGCTTTTGTTCAAAGTTTTGCTAGCGCAACATTTAGTAGTTTTGAGTTGTAGACATTTTATTTTACAGTTTATAATTTCTAATTGTAGATATAATATTAGTTTGCTTTTTCGGATTTTTAATTTTCCATCCAGATCGGAGAGTGTTGACCATATCTGAAGCACTGAAAGTGTTCAGTGCTACACTGATTGCTTCAGATAGTGAATCTGATACAGATCCCGGCACATGTGCAAAACGTACAATATTGGGAAATGCTTTTTCAAAGGTGGTGTCACATTCTTCGAAAAGTATCACCATGAAAAATATAGACTAAGTAAATATGAAATGTAAATATCATGTACCCAAGTTACTTTTCTTCTCATTTGTATGCATGTAATCATCATATAACCAAAAAAGGGCCTTTTAGGTGAGTGTAGAGTAGCAGGTCTCCCTGTGGCACACCTAAGGTAATGCTAAATCTGCTACGGTATTCAGAATAATGTTTTTTAATTGTAGGCAAAATCTCGTACTCTTTTACGTGCTTCCCAGTAATCTTCGTTTCAGCAGTCTTTTCGAAGCTCTATTCAATCAGTGTGCCCGCTTCGGGCACACAAATAGAAATAAATAAGTGCTATCTTCACAAAATTTTACTTGTGTACTCCTCTAGGCCTAATGAAACTGCCTTTTTTTTTAATCAAAATTCCAACTTTAAAAGGTAGCATGCCAGAAAGGGTTAATCAGGAAAGGGAATCACAAGAATGGTACACTATGCCAAAAAGAGGGGAAGTTCTATATCTCCCGTTCTACTGGGCTGATTGACAAAAATTCAACTTGTGTTTTTCATGCCTCGAAAGCGTAACTTAGGATATGTATTAGATTTATTCATAGCATTGTTCAAGTATAAGTATTTCGACACAAAATCACTTTTTTTGAAATGACATACCAATTTTTTTCCATATTTCAATTCAAAGACTCAAATTACACTAAACTGCCAAGTTTTGTAAAAATTGCACAAGTAGTTTTTAAAAAGTTAGCTCTCAAAATTTTCACTCCTCAATGTTAATTGAGTTTGGTATATATTTATTAATCTCTTCTTTTTATTAAACTTACTTGATTCTTCCTTTCACATTTCGGAATTCAGATTCATTCCAAATAAAATTCACCCATTTTTTATGATTTATTTCTAAAATTTGTATTTTTAAATAATTTGTATAAATTTTTCCAAAAAAATTTCTAATTATAATCTATAACATTTTTACCATCTTAAAGTAGATGTATTTCTAAGCATAACTGCAAGAAATTAGTATTTATTCAAAATTTCTGAAGATGTATGTGAATTTATATATTGGCGCATTTTGAAATTTGGCACATCTGTTGAAAGCGATAAAACATCAAATGTGGTTTAGACACTTTGCTAAAATTATTTGAAAGTAGGAATGATAAGACTTCCCCAATATCTAGGCATAGTTTTAGTCATAGAATCGAAATATGCAAACAAATTGTTTTTATTTCAGAAAAAGTCCGATTTTTATGTCAAAATACGTATGTTAGAGCAATGCTATATATAACCTAATATATATCCTAAGTCGCACTTTCAAGGAATAAAAAACGCAATTTGAATGTTGTCAATCGCCCAAGTAAAACGGGAAATATAGAACTGTCCCATATTTTTGTGTGCAGTATACATCTTTTTCTTGCTGAATGCCAGAATGCTGACTGAAGGTAGATTAGGTTATTTGAATATGATGAAGCCATGAGGGCTATCTGTTTGAGGAAAGGAATGTCTTTGTGAAGGTCTTTCTGAAAGAAATTGCCTTGTATTCAACATTACACATGGCGAAAACCAACCATGCAGCCAGGTTGTTTCCCTGAGTTCAAATGCAAAGCAGGTCGAACTATCGGTATTTAGAGTCATAGCCAGTTGGCTGCTGTTGGGACACACCGAAGTATAACCTCTATTTAGTTTTATTGTACTTAATTTCCTTGTGAAGAGTGATTACTATAAACAATACAGAGGTACAGTGGTTAGCGGTGCTGGCTGCTGAGTTGTTGAGCATAGTTTCGAATCCAGGAGAAAACATGGATGTATGAAATATATAATCTGTGCAACATGGGGGGGGGCCAAATGCCATCTTGAATGGTTTAATGAGTAGGGGTACAGGAGTGGAAAATCCTTGGATCCGTTTCCCATGGTTTAACAAAATTGGGACAGCTGCATAGTTAATAAAATGGGGCTATGCTTGTATGACTAGTGATGAAATTCTGCTGTCCCACTCACTTCTGTCCGTACCTATCTGATTAACAGTTGTTGAGGTTCTGTTACACTCAGCTGAAAAAAAATATGTGAGAGTTTTGTGCTTCATTCTTTCATGGACCTTTTTTCTTTGAAAAACTTGAGATTGCATGAATCTGTCATCAGACAGTGATATGTATTGTTTTAGAATTCTATCATTGTTGCATTGCAGCCATGTCAGTGCTTTTGGTCTGAATGCAGAATGATGCTACTTAACACATAGCACATTAAGCAGCTACTCAAAGCTACTTTTCAAATGAAAGAATAATTAGTGGCAATTTTCCTAATGTTTGGCTTGCTTTATTCCCAGACTTGTATGTGTGTGGTTTTGGGAGCTGCATGAAAGACCTAGCCTAGCATGACAGCATAGCATCTTTGTCAGATCTGAAAGAAGGCAAATATCCCATCATGTGCATAAGTTAAGGCAAACATTATGCTTAACTATTCAACATGGTACTTTGAGTTTTTAAAGCAATAAAGGTGATCATCCTATTCAATAATTTTTTCCTGATTACACAAAACCACATAATTTAATGTGGAATCTGAATAAATAGCAATGTGTCCTCTGGGGGGGGGATTCTGAAACTAATTTTGCCATTAAGATTTCCTGAAATGTTATAAAATCCATATTTTAAAGTGTTCTTTCCATGAAAACCTGCTAATAAATGAAATATTATTTTACTAGTGTTTAACAATAATTACTGATCTTGATGTATATTTAAGCAGCCTGCTGCCACTACGGGTGATTTGCTAGGCATAGCTGGCACACCTACAAATTCTCAAGTTCCAGCTGCACCTACGACAAATGATCTGCTAGTAGATGTATTTGGAGATCTTGCTTCACCTCCAGCAGCTGCTTCTAATGCATCATCACCACCTACATCTTTGGCTCCTGGAGCTGTAGTTATCTCAAATGAAGAAGGGCTTTATAAGTAAATTTTTGATTTTGTTTGTAGCTCTAGTAATTTTTATATTTTGCCTCTGCTTAAAATTATTAAGCTTTAAATGCACTTTATGGAAAATTATCTATAATAAAAATTTATTTTCATTACATACTTTCATCTTTTTGAAACTTTCAGGAAAAATTAATTTTTCCAAAACATATTAGTCGTACATCCATATAAGCCTCAGTGTGTAGCTGAATTCCTTATAGCAGCTGTATTGTTAGTAGTGGCTTATGCATAATCTTTGATGTGTTTTTGTTCAATTCATTGTTATCATTAGCTGACTAAGATTGCTGAACACTAGTAGTGTAACCCAAGTAAGTACGTTATTGAAATCATTTAAAAAAACTGTATTAAAGTTATGTATTTTTAGATTGGTGTGTAAAAATAATGGAATATTGTTTGAAAATGATCTCTTACAAATTGGTGTTAAAAGTGAATTCAGGCAAAACTTAGGACGCATTGGTCTTTTTTATGGCAATAAGACTCCTCTTCAGTTCCATAGTTTTGTTCCAAGTGTTTCTTGTTCAGATAGTTTAAGCAAAAGTATCCTTTTATGATGGTTGGATTATTTTTTTATTCAAACGCATAGTTTTTAAGATATGTCAGTATAAAATTTTTCTACACTTATTCTTATGAAACTTTATGTAATATTGATTAAATTGGTTGAATTTAAGGTGTATGATTTTATAACAACAAACCTAAATTATTTTTTAAATTTTTGCATACTAAATGGAAGAAAATATTTCTATGTCTGCAGATTTTCTTACTGTTCTTTGAAAACAAGCTGTCTAAATGAATATATTTTTATCATTTAAGTATACGTTTTTGCCATGCATATCAAACCTTTGTTGAAATTGATGCTTGCACAAAAATTTTTCAAGATTACTAGTCTCAGATTGTGTAATAAATTAAGCTGACTGTCTCAAAGTTAAATATTTCTTAAATTAAGCCTTTCTCAACTATTAATAGTTAGACTTATTTATAAAACGTTAATACCAGTAATATTCTCAAATGAGTAAGAAACTGGTAATTAAATTTTTTTAAACCAACCTGTATTGTAAAAAATTCTTTATTAATATTTTACATTCAAAAATTAAAAATTAGTTAAAAAAATTAGTATTACTTTGGGAGGTTGATAACCATTGTATAGTGCCCCAGAGAATCAATTAAGATGAAGATATAAATTATGAGGGAAATGAATCAATTCATGGCAAAAAAATAGCAAGGGAAAGCTTAAAAAAATTAGGTGATATGTTTTACTGTCTCACTTGGCAGCATGCCACATTGCTTGAGCTAATATAGTTTACACTGGTAATGTGTGCTTTAGATTTCAGGAGCAAGAAATATGTTATTTCTTTCAGTCATAATTCATACTTTGAAACAGTTTGAACAAAACTTTACAAAAAAACACAATTTAATGAACATGCTTTCCCTTGGTAATGGTAGTTTTTAGAACAGTTCCTTAGTAATACTGAAAGTGGACATGTAGTGCCGTACTAACATATTATATTTTGTGGAGGCTAATATCTTTCTTGGAACCTCCAATTCAGACCTGATGCAAGTTTACAGTAAAGACAAACCTTTACCATTATAAACAATACATCTATCCTAGAACATCTTGTTTTCATATTTTATGTGTTATGAAAGATGCTTACTATTAATGTTAAATGTTTAATAACCTAAAATGTGCTTTTTTTAGTCTAAAATTTCAAATTTGTGCAATCCTCTTGGTGACTTGTAAATTAAAATATGTAATCATTGCATTTTTATCTTGGCCAGAAAGCTATTAAATTGAAAAAATTATTCTTTCAAATCCAAAAACAATGTTTTCAAATTCATGACATTTTTGTTCATTTTAGTTAATTCACTGTAGTTTCTTGTATTTCAGCTAATTTGTATATAAGTATAATTTGGTAAATGCAAAGCTGTTTTGTCAAGATTTTTTTCACCAGAAATATGTAATTAAATATAATTGAGGTGACCTATGCTGGGGGTTAAGGTGAAATTGAAAATCATGTACTGTGTTTTACTTCACAAAACTTTATTAATAGCTTGCTTTGCCAGTGTTGTGAACTGCTGATTAACCCATTTTGTATGCTGTGTATTATGCTGACATTTTTGCAATTAAGTAATAAAAAATTTAAGAGAAAAGTTTCAAGGAGAGAATTGCATGTAATATTATTCTGTATTCATTGATATAATTATCTGTTTACAAGGTGAATCATCTATTTATCAATATGTGCTTTAGTGTTGCCATATTTGCTGAGAGGAAAATTATGTTGAAATTAATATGTATGTATTTAAACATTACTAAATCCTTGAAAATTGTAACTTATAGCCTGTCACAAGTTGTAAAAATTAAAAACAGCTTGAACATAAAATTTAATTTAATTTAAATTTCTTAAGCATTAATTATTTAATACAGCATAGAACTTGTCTTATGAGCATAACATCAAGACATTTTAGGTACTACCTTGCAATCTGTTTTTAGCATTGTTAGGCATGCTGGAGTAAAAGTAAGGAATGGCCCAAGTTTATCCCAAAGTGGCAGTTATATGCTCCTTTGGTTAATGTTAACTTGAATTTCATTATGGAAAATTTGAACTCCAATAACACAAATCAGAAGAAGAAAGGTAATAGGGGAAAAATTATCTTTTTTAAATAAGTATAGGTTCCTGCATTGATTCTGAAGGTAATGACAGTGGAAGTTCATGTCAGAAACATTCAGACAATGTCAGAAAAATATAAGTTTAGTACAGCTGCCTCATAGTTTAGCCTATATATAAATGAATGAAGTATATTATTTTATGGTCCAGTATTATAGTTCTCTTCATAATTATGAAAGTACTAGAAGTATAGTTGTATTAAAAATTCTACAGTACATTTTCAAGCAGGTTTTTTCCCCCAGGAAATGTCAATGATTTCTTCATTGAAGCAATTCTAGTTTAATGCTTTAATGAGTAGTGGTGCTATTTTAAATTTACAGTATTACCCTAAACATAGGCAAGAAGGAATCCAAGACTATGGGAAATTGTTTTACTGCAATGCTGTGTTTACTGAATCAATAAAGTTGTTCATATATCATTTTAAGGAGGTACAATACTTGAACTAAACTACTAACAACAAGAAGTGGCTGTGAAGTACTGTAATAATACATTATGTACTCATCCTACAGTTGCTTTCATGTAAAAATAATTTAATGTAGTACTTCTAAATTTCCCTACATTTCTTATTGTAATCATTGTTGATTTTTCATTCTGCTGAATTTCCTTATATTGTATATTGCAATCATTGTTGATTTTTCATTCTGCAATTTCCATTTTCCAGTATTTTAACTGGAGAATAGGAAATCATGCATAAGCAGACCAGTAAAGTTGAAACTCGCATTTTACAGGAATCAGCTGTATGCCCTTAAAGGTCTTTGGTCACTGAGTATGTTCAAATTATTGAGGCACTATACTGGAAGAAAAAAAAAAAAAAAAAAAAAAAGAGAACCTATTATTAAATCATAAAAAGCATTTTTTAATTATAATTAAGAAAATGCCTCTTCCTCGTTGCATTTTGGGAAACTTAAGAATTCTGGGACTGATTGCTTAGCTGATTGGTAGATTAAAGATTTAGCTATTGGAAGCCCAAATAAGATCCTGATTAAATAATTTAGTGTGTGATTGTTTACATTATTGTTTTAATCGTTTCTTCTGGAACTGGTAAGTCCCATTTAAGATGTAATTATTTGTTATAACTGCAATATGCATCAGTTACACATCTTCTAAAAATGCCTGTGTTTATGTAGAATATGATTATAAGTTCAAGCCATTTAAAAAAATTACTTTGTAATTCCTAATTCTTGATTGCCTAGGATCTTGAAACTACGTTAGTCGTCATTATAAGTTTTATGCAAGCTATTTATTCTCTCTTCCAAAAAATGCCCCTACTCCAATTCGTTTTTAATATAACATTTGCATGAGTTGAAGTTTTATTAGTTTTATTTTATTTATTCAAAACTAACTGGAGTTGTTATGCACCTTAATTTGAACTTAGAAATTAATATCCAGTGTAAACCTGTTGAACCTACAATAGATGCAGGTGCTCAGGTACAACAGCAGTTGAATATAGAATGTATAGACGATTTCAATGAAAAACCAGTGCTGACAGTACAGTTCATGTAAGTATTTCAGTTGTTCAGAATTTTTTTAATTTCAATTTTAGAATGATTTTTATGTGCAGTCTTTATGCACTCATCAAACTTTATTTATAGGTACTCCAGTGTTCTTCAGAAATTAAACATGAAATTGCCTGTGACAATAAATAAGTTTTTTGAACCAACAGTCATGAATTCTGAAGCTTTTTTCACCAGGTGGAAAAATCTAAACAAGTAGGTTCTCATTTAATATTATGATTACACTAATTAAAGTCATTTTCATTCCATATTGGTTCAATTTGTTTCATTGTTTTTTTAGTCCCTCTCAAGAAGCACAGAAAATATTTAAAGCCAAGTATCCCATGGATAGTGAGGCAACAAAAACAAAGGTGAGCAATGTTAGGTGAATTGAAATTTACAAGGGCTACAAGGGTACTGGGCTCACCATTTTGGCTGAATCTTCATAAATATAGAGTATTTTAAAATGCGTATGTTTGAAAATGCCAAGCGCTTATTGTTCAGAATTAAACAAGAAAATTCAGGCTAAGTAATATTTTAAGATCTTTCATTTAGTGCTAGTAATGGTAGCCTTATAGAGCTTCAAATAAAATGTCGAATTAAAATCCAGCTGATGGCAGTGTGTGTGTGTGTGTGGTTTGGTTTTTTTTTTTTTCTGTATGTGTGCGTGTGTTAAATTTTTTTTTTTTCTTTTTTTTTTTTTTTGTTTTTTTTTTTTTTTTTTTTTTTTTTTTTTTTTTTAATGTTATTTTATTGAAAGAAAATTAATTTTAAAAAGTATTTTTAAGGGAATAATGCAAAGGCAAATATGAGTGTTTCGAGATAAAAAATTTATATTCTTATTGTTTTTCCTACAAATTATTCACAGTTCTTACTTTTTTTTTTTTTTTTTTTCAAACTATGAGACCATAGACTATGAGACTATAGAGGGCATTGCATGAATAAGTTTTTGCAACCTAAATTTTTTATTATCTGTTGTGCATAAAATATAATGCAGGTTGAGTTAGATTATTTGAATATGGCAGAGATACGAAGGCTATCTACCCAAGAGGAGGGATGTCTTTGTGGAGAACTTCCTAAGGGAAACTGTTTTATATTACACATGGGGGAAATAAAACATGCAATATTCAGTGGTCTTAACTACTTGGCTACTGCTAGGCATAAAAGGAGGAAAATATGGACACTAGAGTTCTTGCAAAAGAGGAGAAAATTTTATGAATATTAATATATGTTTTCTTAAAATTTTAAAGAAAAATTGTTAAAACAGTCTTAGGCCCACCAGCGGCCGAGCGGTAAAATCGCTGAACACTGGTAGTTCGGTCCGAGGTTCGAATCCTGTGAACGGGCTGGCTGCATGGGCGTTTTCGTGGTTTTCCCCATGTGTAACGTGTATACGAGCCAGTTTCCCTTAGAAAGTCCTCCACGAAAGGCATCCCTCCCCTTAGGCAGATAGCCCTAGTGTGCTTTGCCGTATTCTCAATACACACACCAACACCTAAAACAGTCTTAAATTGTGGTAATTTGTCATTAATTTGATGTGCAAATGCTAGATTTTTATATTTTAAACATTATTAGGGTAAATACCTTAAATATGTAGCATGAAAAGAAAATTTCCTCTCATAGTAATGAATTGGCAAGTAACTTGAAAAGCACAATGTGAAAGAATTGAAAAAGAACATAATTACAGATGGGGGTTGGGTTTTATCTTATGCAGTAGTGTCTGCAGGGTCACTGGTCCATGTTCAGAAATTAAGAGAAGAACCGTCCAAACTAAAAGTGATTGGAGAAAGTTATGTTTTTGGTTTGTTACAGAAGTCGTATGAAAATGTGTGGTAAGTTAAAACATAAATCTTTTCACAAAATGTTTATATCAAATGATTTTTCATGTTATTCCTTTGAAAATATTTTCCATAAATAATCCTTCCATTCGATCATCAGATAACATCAGTAAAACAGTTGGAATGCTAAAACTACAAACTTGTGTATTGTAACCCAGACTAATAGTGCTTATGACAAATGCAAGAATTTAATGCTGTTCAATTCAGACTTAATTGTTTTGCTTATTTCTGAATACTGTATGCTTGGCATTTGGAAACATATTCACTTTAATGTATTATAAATAATGTGAACTTTGAGTGAAATTGATGAGTCTGTGGTTCTGCACTCCCTTTTTAACAAGAAGTGTCCTCAAAATTTTAATATTTTTTATTATGCATTTATTGTTTAAAGATGCATAATACTATATATAAATTATCACATTTAATTTGAAGCTTTCTCTTGTTTCTGTTACAGAGAGTTGTGAATTTTTTCAATGAAGTTTTCACTTAATGTGATGCAATAGTTTATTCTCTCTTCTGAAATGACTGGAAATTTTAATTAACTGTTTAAAAATCTTTTTATTGAAATTCTTTATATATTCAAATCTGGTGTTCTATCAATATTATATATTAAATCTGGTGCTGATAAATCTTCAATAATTTAAAATAAATTCTGACAATATGTGAATGATTTATTGGTAATAACGTAGATTGTATTTTGGGAGTTTGATTTTTCCCAGGCTATGAATAAAATTATGCTGTAAGTTTGCCATTATGATATTCCTCTCCTATAATATTGCTCTTCTGAAAACTGCTTTTTGCAGTTTCAATCATCATTTAATTTCCTTTATTATTATTTCTGGTAAAGGAGCACAGAGTATCATCTGTCCTATAGCTAATGAAATTAAATTCCAAGAAATTGTTTTTAACAAATTTTATATTAACTTAGTTTTTAAGTAGGTCATACAGCAAATAGTTTGAAGCATGTTGCTGTAATGATATGCAAGTCTTAATTTTTTTTTTTTTTAATGTTAGATATTGGCTTCACATTTTCAAATATAGTTTCACATTTTGCAAGTGATTTTTCAGTGCCATTCTTTTTCAGATTGTTCAAATATATTCTTATAGTATTTTCTTCTTTAAAAGTGATCTTAAATGAGTACCTTTACTAACATAAAATCTAGCAATAGTTTGCTAGCAATTTTCCTTTTTAAATGCTTGAAAATTTTATTGCTAAGACAGGGTTGATTTTACATCTTAACAAATTCGCTGCCCAGCGACTTACAAGATAACTTGTTGTTGGCAACGAAGGTGTTAATGCAGCAGCATCTCCCAAGTCGGTGGCTGGGTTTTTCCAGTCCCTGCCATTGATAGAAGTTTGCTGGTGTTTATTTTAAAATGCTGGAGAGGAAAGCAATGTCCTTCAGCTAAAATGAGAAAAATGAATTGAAATGAGAGGAGGTTTATGTAATTATAATTTGTTGCAGCCTTTTTCTGTAGCTCTGGTATTGTCTTCGCAAGGAACCTGCTGCAAGTCTTGAGCAGTGTTTCTCAGCTGCCGGTCTGCAAGAAATATTTGCTGGTCCACGAAATATCCAGCTATCTGTCCAAAACTCAAAGTGTCATTGGCTGACAACCGATATTACAACAGCACATACATTAACAACAGTTTACTAGTTTAGAAGATAATATGATCAATGATGAAAAATATAACAAACTGGCAACTATGTACCTAATCGCCTTTCATGAAGTGCTATGCCGTACACTTAGTATACCAGTTAGTGTGTGCCCGTCTGCCTTGAGTATCGCTGATTACTTGAACGCTGAATATCTATCGTAGTGTTTAAGGTGTCTTAGGTTAAGTTTTGCTTTTTATCTTGCTTACATTCTTCTGCACGCTTGGACATCTGAAAAACTATACATCAGCCGAATTTTTTAATAACCACTGAATTTAATATTGTGTTATAACTACTATTTCTTTAACTTTAGGTAGATTAAAAATCAATAACCAGGATGAGTAAGAAGGAAACAAAAGGCACATTACTAAATTTCGTGCGAAGAAAGAATTCTTCAAAACCAAGTACGTCGTCCACCACTTAGAGTACAGATGAAGGTGAATATAGTCTTCAATCTGCCAAAAAAAGAAAAAGCTTTGTAAGGCACTATATTGCAGACTATTTGAAATATGGTTTTGTTGTTTGGCCACAGTCGGAAGAAAATTGTCTAAAAGCTGAATATGTTGTTTGTAGAGATGTTCTTTCAATGAAAGCATTAGTATGAATTCAGATTATTTCAATTGTTGCCACTTGAGGATGAGAAGAGGTTGACAAGTTGTGCTTCAGGTATGGTAGATAAGAGATCCTCATTCGCTTGTCCAGGGACCGTCACTGATCCGATTTTATATGCAAGGGTTTTTGTGATTATTTTTTGTAATATTGTGTGATTTTTCTCAAAGGTTTATTTACATATATATGATAATTATACTGATATGTAATAATTACAATATTTACCTATCTATATATTTAAATATGATTGTAGGCAAATAAGAATATTACAGTTAACTTATGTAGTAATTCTTGAATACCTTGTAAAGTTTGGGGGGGAGGGTAAGTTTTTACCGGTCCGTGGACCAAAAAAGGTTGAGAAGCACTGTTTTAGAGTATCCTTTTTATGAAATGGATTAAATAGGTGATGATACTTGAGTCAAGGACTTTAAAAGGCCAAGGCATTGAGTTTACTTAAGTATCTGAATCGCTTAAATTTTAAACGTTTTCAGCAGATTTGCAGTGTGCTTGGAAATCGAAACTCGCCGCATAGTTTGAAATTGATATTCTAGTCTGACTTGCATCGGCATATTTCTTCTGATTATTTTGAAACTTTTTTTCAGCCAGTTCCTGTACTTTGTTGACTGTAGTTGATAATCTTTTCATGTAATGTGGAAGGGAAATTTCTGCCCCAAAATTATCTTTATAAATGACATTTCTAAGGTCATAATGCATCATCAAGTTTACATAGCAAATTGAAATTGTGCAGCAGTTTGGGAAGTGGTGATCTTTTTGTAGGTATTCATAGTGAACCAAGCTGCATGTAGTTTTCTGACCTAGAAGACTATTTCTCCCAAGTATGAATAATATTGCTTTTAATACCTTTTCCTTTATCCCTGCAGGATTCACTTGAAGGTGATATATTGAATTTGAGACCTAATGAATTTTTGAGAGAAAACATCCTTGTTTCAATATTACAGTTGCAAATTTGATAACATTATTACTGATTATGTTTTGAGGCTATCTGCATCATAAGAAAACCTCTGTGATTAGAGTGACTGCACTTCCCTTTACCAAAGCAGTAGGTAAAGAGGAAAATTCCACCTATTTTGTGGTATAATCTGTAACAGTAAAAATCTGCTGCTTTTTCACAGCTATGCCAGATTATTATGGACTCTCAGGTATGAAAACTTAATCTGATATGAAAATAAATTTAGTTCTATTTTATTCATTTTGGATAATGGCTCGGAGTAAATCAATAGCTAGAGTTTTGAAGTGTAGGACCATATA